TTATATATTATCAATAATAACTATTGTTGTTGTGATAGTTATTATACTCTAGCCCAGGGGTGAGGATGAGGTTTGGGGAGATAGCTAGAGGCAGATGGCTCCATGTAGGAACACTTAGTCCCCTTAATAAAATGATTTATTCTATAAAACTTGGACTGAGGCAAAGGACCACACTTGAGGATGTAGAGGGCCACATGTGGCCTTGAGGCCACAGGTTCCCCACCCCTGCTCTAGTCCCAGTGGTTCTGTGAAGTCTTCCCTTTCTGCCCCAGCTATCAGGGAGCATATCCTCCTCTAAAACCCTATAACATCGACACATAAGATCTAGGAGAAATATAAGGGAAACATTAAAGACCAATTAGGAGGGATTCAATAGGGTCAAACTGTTTGCTTTGTATATGTGAAAATATTAGTAGTACTCTTATGACTGTCATCATTATTTGGGTAGTTTGAAAGAAAGGCTTGGACTGAGCTGTGTATTATGGGGAAATTAAAAAAAACTGTATAGAGAGATAAAAAGGAGTAATTATCTCATACAAATGAAACATGAAAGGAAGAATCAATACAGAAGAAGCAAATGGGAGAAGGGGGACAGCAGGAAGTGCTAGAACCTTACTCTCATCAGAAAAGGGTTAAAGAGGAAACAACATATATCTCTAGAAGGCTATATTGTAAATAAAAAAAAAAAGAAAGAAAGAAGAGGGCAAGGGGATAGTGTGAGGGGAGAGGATAAGGGAGGGACTCCTAGAGGGGTGGGTAGGTTAAGGAATAGGAGGGCAACGTAGCAGGTAGAAGTAAAGCAGAGGAATGAGGATGGATAGGGTAAACAGGGAGAGAAGGATAGAGAGGAAAAATAGATGGGGGGAAATAAACAATAAGTAATTATAATAAAATGTAAACGGGATGATTTTACGCATAAAACAGAAACAGATAGCTGAATGAATTAAAAATCTGAATTCAACAACATATTGCTTTCAGGAAACACAATAAAAATGAGAAATACAAACATAAAATGAAGAGCTGGAATAGGATTTATTATGTTAAAAAAAAATCAGGGATAATAATCATGATCTGAGACAAAATTAAAGCTAAAATAGGTTTAATTAAAAGAGAAAAATAGGGAAACTACATTATGTATCCCCAATATTATTCAATATTGTTTTAGGCTATTTAAAATAACTAAATAGTATAAAACACTTGAAAAAATACTGGCCAAAACAGACACAGGAACTACATGAACATAAACATAAAACACTCTTTATACAAATAAAGTCAGATTTAAATAATTGGAGAAATATTCATTGTTCATGGGTAGGTAAAGCCAATATAATAAAAAATGACAATTTTACCTAACTAATCTATTTACTTACCGCCATCCTAATTAAATTACTAAAAAATTACTTTACTGAGTTAGAAAAAATAATAACAAAATTCATTTGGAAGAACAAAAGGTCAAGGATTCCAAAGAAACTAAGGGAAAAAAATATAAAGGAAGAAGATTCAGTAGTACCAGAACTTAAACTATATAATAAGGTGAAAGCATTGTTGAAGTATAAAATAGATAATTTCAATTATTTTAAATTAAAAATTTGTTGTATAAATAAAACTGATATAGCCAAGATTAGAAGGAAAGCAGAAATTTGGGAAAGCATTTTCATAGACAATCTCTCAGATAGGATATGATTGTGATGCAATACTGCTGTGATATAAGAAACGATGAGCTGGTTGATGAAGAAAAATAAGGAAAGACTTGGACCTATGAAGGAAGATGCTATCCACATCCAGAGAAAGAGCTGACCTGTAGAAATATGCATAGTATGGTCTTACATATATGTGTATAATTATATATATATATATGCATGTTTATTTGTATATATAAATATACACACACACACACACACACACACACACACACACACACACATATATATATCTCCAAATTTAATTGTAGCCTTCTCTAGAGCAGGGAGAAGGGGGGAGAGAGGGGAAAAAAATACAAAGTGCACAGCAGAAAACAAAAGAAAACCTAGAAGAAAGCACAGAAAAGCTGGGTTGCTTTGAAAACAATACGTAAAATTTATTACATAGGTTTTCAAGAAATGGAAATTTAGGGGCAGCTAGGTGGCACAGTGGATAGAGCACTGGCCTTGGAGTCAGGAGGACCTGAGTTCAAATGTGGCCTCAGACCAAACACCTGACACTTACTAGCTGTGTGACCCTGAGAAAGTCACTTAACCCCAATTGCCTACAAAAAAAAAGAAATGGAAATTTATGGTTTTATGTTAAATCCTTTCTTATGCTCTGCTGTATACATAGAAATGTTCTTTTTTCTCTTCTCATTTTGCATTTAAGTTTAAAAATGAATAAAATTTTAAAAAATAAAATCCTACAATACCAATGGTCTCCAAACTTTGGGGATACTATACTCCTATTGGTAAAAAAAAAATTTGAGCACATTTATAAGTTAAACATCCACAATAATTTATAAAATACATGCAGATTTTTAAAGGATGAAATAAAGTGATTTTCCTAAAATAGTTTTTAATTTTTTCATTAATGATGTTGTTCAGTTGTTTTCAGGCATGTCTGACTCTTTGTAGGCCCATTGAGGGTCTTCTTGGCAAAGATCCTGGAGTGGTTTGCCAATTCCTTCTCCAACTCATTTTACAGATGAGGAAACTGAGGCAGACAGGGTGAAGTGACTTGCCCAGGGTCACACAGCTAGTAAGTGTCTGAGGCTGGATTTGAACTTAGGTCTTCCTGACTCCAGACCAGGTGCTCTATCTACTGCACCAACTAGCTGCTGCAACTTTATGTATATATCCTACTTTTTCAACTCAAAGGGACTATCTTTGTGTCCCCAGCTGCTAGAACTCATAATACATACTCAATCATTCAATTAAACAATAAAACAGTGAGAAACAGTATAGCATAGTGGATACTCAGAGCAAGGAAGAATCGAATTCAAATCCCACCTCTGACGCATACTGGCTTTGTCACCATGGGCAAGTCACTTTAACTTCTCAGTCCCTAAAGCAACTCTCCAAGATGAGAAGTTTCAGAGTATTGGTCTGCATTAATAGGGGAGGAGCCAACCATTATCTTCCAACATTCCCCAATTCCCTCTGCTATAGAAGTCATTGGCAAAATATCCTCCCCACCCCCCCAACCCAGACCCACTCTGACCTCTCAGTTACTTTTGGCTAAGTCAGTGACAGGTAAGAGGCCTGCCCCCTCAATGCCTCCCCACCCCTTTTCATTTTGGGTTTACCAGACATGGAAGGGTTGCCACAGATCCTGCATCTCATTACATTATCTTTCCCCTCAAACACACCCCTCTCCCAAATTGCCCTAATATTGCCCAGGGCACCACGATCCTTTGGTCATCCAGAATCACAACCTCAGTGTTGTCCTCCCTCCCTCCCTCCCCCCCCACCCCACTTAGCCAGTCAATTTTCAAATCTTCTCCTTTCTACCTTCACATCTCTTGCATCTGTCCCCTCTTCTCAATCACCCTCATCATAGCAGCCTTCTGATTGGTCTCCCTGCCTCAAGCCTCTCCCCACTGCAATCCAACCCCCACCAAAGTAATTTTTCCTAAAGTACAGTTCTGAACACATCACCCTACTTATCTGAACTCCAGTGGCTCTGTATTGACCCCAGGATCAAATATTACTCATTTCACCCGTTTAAAACCTCTATTTCATAACATACATGATTTTTAGTATAATAGTACAGGCATGTAGTTTCTAAGTATAGACACACTGGGGGTGCACGCTCAAAAAAGTTTGGAGACCATCTGTCTATGGATTGGAAGGGCGATGCTGAAATGTCTCCCTCATCTAAAGCCTACTTCAGAAATATAGGAGGCATGGAGGCCAGCTAGGTGGCTGGATAGAGCCACCAGCCCTGAAGTCAGGAGGACCTGTGTTCAAATGTGACCTCAGACTAAACACTTGACACTTACTAGCTGTGTGACCCTGGGCAAGTCACTTAACCCTAATTGCCTAAATATATGTGTGTGTGTGTATACATATGTGCAGATATATACATATACATGTGTGCATATGTACATGTATACATATATATAATATACATATACACATACACACACACACATATGAGGCAGCTGGGTGGATAGAGAGCCAGCCCTGGAGTCAGGAATATGCTAGTTCAAATCCAGCCTTAGACACTCACTAGCTGAGTAACTCTGGGAAAGTCACTTAATCCTGTTTGCCTTAATCCACTGGAGGAGGAAATGGCAAACCACTCCAGTATCTTTGCCAAGAAAACCCCATGGACAACATGATCCATGGGGTCACAAAGAACCAGACATGACTGAATTGGCTGACCAATTTCAGAAATGTATTTAATGTCTGGCATGTACATCTGCACTCAAGGGGATGGAATTTCCAGTTCTAGGCAACTGGAAATTGTTAAACATCCCATCCAAAAATTCTAAAACCACAATTACCTGCTCTATTACCCTTCCCACCCATCTCTGCTCTCACCTCTGCTTACAATTTTGCTGTCCCATGCTGCTGATTGAGCTTTCATTTATTCATTCGTCTTTGTAGCAAATGGTTACTGGGTCCCTAATGTGTGTCCAGTACCTTATGTGAGGTAGATTAAAGAATGCATAATTCTTGCCCTCCCTAATTTATGGGTAGTTTTCAGGGAAGGTATGCAAGAAGATGGACTAAGAACCCACCTATATTTCACTACTGACAAAGCTTCCTGAGGGTAGCAACTACTTCATTTTTTAATATCTAAAAAAAGTGTCCTTCACATAGTTAGCCCTTAATGTTTGTTGAGTTGAATAGATTTACACGAACTATACATGAGTCTATATATTTCTCATATAGGTAGATATTTGTATATTTCCAATAAATGTGAAAGTCTAGTGAGGCTATTTTGTTATTCACTTGTCAAACGTGCTAATAGCGTAGGTCAAGATCCAAGTGTAATCTTGGTGTCGTCTGTGGTAAGAAGAGTCTTCATTTTTTAAATTAATACATTTTATTTTAACGGCCATGAAAAACATGGACAAAAGAAACGAGGAAAACAGAAAATGAACTGAGCATAAACATGGAATGAATGTATATACTTGGCTGGAACACTTTTTCAAATGTATGTATTAACTAAAACACTCAAGATAGAGGCTTTTTTAGTTCTTTTCCTCAGCAATACGTCTTTGGGGACAGCTGAAGTGTGTCAAGAACAAAAACGCAAAGTGGAACTGCATGATGTCGCAAGTTTTGGACCAGAAGTGTCCAGTCAGTTCCCTGAAGAGAGGCCACTGAGCAAGCCAATGGTCACCCAGCTTAAGGACAATGAAGCCCAGGCAAGACATCAAAGCCAGGCTGATATATGTGGCAGAGACAGGATCCCCATATTCCTGGTGTACATGTATGGCACTCCATACAGCAGCAAGAATGTGACATGCTAGGGCTATATCAAATCCAAGATGGTGGAACAGGGTAAGGCCATAACTGGCTAGGGATATACACTCAATACAAAGGAACAACCAGGGCTGCCAACCATCCTCTAGGTAGCGGCACCAGACGACTGGCCAAGCAAAAATAGGCAAGGTAAACCACTGGTCCAGAACAGCAGAGTGATGAGTCTGGGTCCAGATGCGTACCCATTGAATAGGACCATATAGCAGGGCCATGCCTGCAAAGACATCTTTCAGGTAATGGGCCTGTCTCACATCTTCATCATTTCCTATGACTTTCTTATTTTTCAGAAGCCAGTAGCATCCCAACAGCAGGTAGCCCAGATTAATGACAGAATTGAAAGGCATGGCTAGAAAGGTCGGAAAGGATTGAACTGGAACCTCTGCATAATATTCATAGCCAACTTCAGTGAAGATATCATCAAACAGCCCAGTGCTGATAATGACAATACATAAGCAGACTGTAAGAAGCACGTGGATCAAGGCCAGGTAACACTCTCGTTTCATCTGTAACAACAATCAGTGCAAATCCTTATTACATGGTCAAATAGAAACCTTTGTTAATTCTTTCTGAATTAAGATCAAAGGTTTATCATAAAATATATTACCCCTACAATTAAATCTGCAGGGAAAAACAAAGTCTTTAATAAACTGAACCTTCTAAGTTTTCTCATAGACAGAAGCTGTGGCAGCTGGTTAGTGCCAAAACAGAAAACTTCCTTCTCTTTTTCAGGTTTACTTAAAGTTTATATTATCAAAACAAGAGCAAGTGTCTGTCCACACAATGCCTCAGTAACCCCTCACTTTTTTATAATTGGAAAAAAAAAACAAAAGTGAAACTAAACCTACACAAAACATTTAGGTTTCATTTGTTTTTTCTTCTCATGAAACCTAGTCTTTACTTTCTTAGAAGCTTTACCAGGTTCTTTCCTATGACATCTAAAATGTCTCCTTTTTTGCCTCCATCAAGCTCATGGTCTTATTTTCCTGTCTATGGAAGACTTTAAAATTTTCTAGGTATCTGTTGCTTAAAATCTATTGCTAAAAAATTAGATATATTTATTCTCAGAGGATTTGGCTTAAGGGGAGAATCTATCTTACCCTACAGGAAGATAAGGGGGGAAGGGGACATGAGAGCAGGGGGATGATAGAGGGGAGGGCAGATTGGGGGACGGGATAATCAAAAGCAAACACTTCTGAGGAGGGACAGGGTCAAAAGGGAGACTAGAATAAATAGGAGGTAGGATAGGATGAAGGAAAATATACTTAGCTTTTCACAACAGGACTACTATGGAAGTGTTTTGCATGACTACACATCTATAGCCTGTATGGAGATGCTTGTTTTTCCAATGAGGGTGGGTGGGGAGGGAGGAAGGGAGAAAATTTGCAACCCAAAGTTTTAAAAACATGTTAAAAATTTAAAAAATTAAAAATTAGAAAAAAATAATTAGATATAGATAGGTGGATAGATATATACATATAAGTGTGTACCACTGATACTTTTGGCAAGAAAAGCCCAAGACAGTCCAGACTTGTGGTCTCTTCAAGTTTCTCCCTTCAGGTATGCCAACATAAGGCAGTCCCTAAAACTTGGAATTCCTTTTCTCATGGAAACAACATTACAAATAGTGGTAAAGTTCCCAGGGCAGCCTACAAAAGCTTTTTAACCCATAATGCAGTTGAATTACAGTAGTAGTCTAAATCCTGGGTCCTAGGAGAAAGGTGTTCTTCTTCTTTTCTGATCAGGATCAAGCATAGCGAAAATTTTTAAATATTTATACTCCTGGCACCCTCTCTCCTCAAACTGCTATCCAATGCCACCCTAATGCCCTAAGTCCAATGTTAAAGCATCCCACTCAGACCAACTTCCCTTCACAAATGACTCTAAACTTCAAGATCACTGATCTTCCTTCCCCATCCCCCATCAACATTTCCATTTCCTCAGTGTGAATACATCATCTCATTAACCTTACCAGAGTCATCAGGATTTTTTTGAAGGATGTTTTTTAACCCAACTGAATATCTGATCAGTAGAAATTCAGGCAAAAAAACCAAACAAGTGAAAAAAATTCAGGCACTGGGGGCATGATGAAAAGAGATATTCTTTGGGGGGTGGCTATCGCCCTAAGCAAGTGAACCCCACCTAGCAGTCACTCCCCAGCGTCAGATCCTCTGCTGTATTTCTGAAATTTAGATTACTCCTTTGGAGGCTACGACAAACACATGATGACTATCAGGTGAGCTGGTTGCTTAAGCAGTTTCCTGTACATAAAAGCAGCAGCCAGACCATGTGAGAGAAGCTGAGACTTCAGTGTACATGCAGCCAAAGTATATAAAACAGAATAAAATAAATATCAAGTTACTGTCTACCTAACAGATGAAAAGGTCTGTGTGTGCATTGGCCTCCTAACATTCTACAAAGCAAACACTGACATATTATCAAAAGGACCAATAGCCATGAGCCTAGGAAGCCTCTAAACGGCTTTGCTTTTATCCTGCCTTCTCAAGTATATTAAGCACAAAACCAAAGCAAGAAATGCTCAAGAGTTTGCTTTATGACAAATTGTTAGGGGTTGTTTTTTTTTTTCCCCTTTTCAGGCTATAAATAGTTTTGGTATTGTCACTGGAGAACAGAACAGGAAACACAAGCCTATCTTTCCTGGACAAAAATCCTAAAAGGTTACATTAGAAATTCCTTAATATGAAAGTGGCTTGGGCCAGGAAAAGGACAGGTAATTTGTTGCTGGAAATGAAAATATTTGTTGGAATCACCTCTAGAAGACTGACAGGACCACAATATAAAAGGGCTCAAGTTCTGATCCCAGGGCTAAGAGAAAGCATTATGCTGAAGCTTCACAGTTGAAGATGGCATTCCTCACAAACAAAATACTTGTCCAGAGACTGTTTATCCAGAAACTACAAGCATACAGAATATTGTACAAATGGCCTCTGTTCAGCCAAAACAATCTCACAAAGTTCAAACACGAAACCTAATGCACTATACTCAAAGGAAAGTCCCTTGAAATTAGGGTTAATAAGCTGCCAATCAGATGGAGTGAAAGCTGGGTATGCCTGCAGCTGACAAGGATGGAAAAAACTGAAAATTTCCCAAAATAAGCCTGGAGCCCTAATACCCTGCAGGCTCTGTAGCCTTTGATGTTATACACTGATATCTAACAGCAGCAGCAGAAAAGGTCCCGGCCTTAGAAGTCAGGAGATTTGGGTTCTCATCATGGTTCTGCCACCAAGTAGCTGTGGGATTCTGGGCAAGTCACTTGGCCTTTCTGGGTCTCAGTTTCATCATCTTCTTTGTCTTTAATAATCAATTTTTTTATTTTTAAAATTTATTTTATTCTGAACTTAAGAAATAAATTTTAATTTTAATAACAAAGGAGGGGGAAAAAATCTTATAGATAATTTCTCAGATAAAGGTCTCATATCTCAAATACGTAAAGAACTTTGTTACATCTATAAAAATACGAGTCATTTCCTAATTGATAAATGGTCAAAGGATATGAATGGGCAATTTTCTGATGAAGAAATCAAAACAATTTATGAAAAAATGCTCTAAATCATTATTGATTAGAGAAATGCAAATTAAAACAACCTTGAGATACCATTTTGCACCTATCAGATTGGCTAAGGTGATAGAAGGGGAAAGCAACAAATATTAGAGAGCGTTGGAAAAATTGGGACACTAATTCACTGTTGGTGGATCTGTGAGCTGATCCAACCATTTTGGAGAGAGATTTGGAATTATGCCCAAAGAGTTATTAAAGTGCCTATACCTTTTTTTTTAAGGCAACTGCGGTTAAGTGACTTGCCCAGGGTCACACAGCTAGTAAGTGTCAAGTGTTTGGTCTGAGGCCGGATTTGAACTCAGATCCTCCTGACTTCAGGGCCGGTGTTCTATCCACTGCACCACCTAGCTGCCCCTTGTCTATACCTTATGACCCAGAAATTTATTGCACCTGAAATTGCAGATCCATTACATACAACTTGTTATTCCTTTCAAATATACAACAAAGTTATCATGTGACTTTTTTCCCCCTTCCCCTGCCACCCCAAACTTTAAGATAGCTACCATCTTACCACACATACAAATCTATATGCACACACACATATATATATGTGTAAATGACATATATACATACATGCACACATACATATACATACACATATATATGTATGTATGTCAGTTCTTTTTCTGGATTCAAACAGCATCTTCCTTCATAGGATCTTTGCAGTTAATTGGGGTACTTCTAATAGTCAGAATGACTTGGTTGCTCAAAGCTGTTCTTAAAACAATATTGCTGTTACCGTATATAGTGTTCTCTTGGTTCTGCTCATTTCACTCTCCATTATTTCATACAGGTCTCTCCATGCTTTTCTAAAATCAGTGAGCTCATCATTTCCTATAGCACGATAATACTCCATCATGAACATATACCACAACTTGGTTCAGCCATTTCCCAACTGACAGGTATCCCCAAAATTTCCAGTTCTTTGCCATCACAAAGAAAGCTGCTATAAATATTTTAGAACATGTACGTTCTTTTCCATTTTTCCTAATCATCTTAGGAAACACACCTAATAATGGTATTGCTGGGTCAAAAGGTATAGGCAGTTTTATAATAACTCTTTGGGCATAATTCCAAATCTCTCTCCAAAATGGTTGGATCAGCTCACAGATCCACCAACAATGAATTAGCATCCCAATTTTTCCACACGCTCTCTAACATTTGTTGCTTTCCCCTTCTATCACCTTAGCCAATCTGATAGGTGCAAAACGGTATCTCAAGGTTGTTTTAATTTGCATTTCTCTAATCAATAATGATTTAGGGCATTTTTTCATAAATTGTTTTGATTTCTTCATCAGAAAATTGCCCCTTCATATCCTTTGACCATTTATCAATTGGGGAATGACTTGTATTTTTATAAATGTAACAAAGTTCTTTACATATTTGAGATATGACACCTTTATCTGAGAAACTGTCTATAAAATTTTCCCCCCAGTTTTCTGCTTTCCCTCTGCTCGTGGCAACATTTGTTTTATATGCACAAAAACTTTTTACATTTTACATCTCACAACACTATTGCTTGTTTGTTCATTAATTTTTTACCTATCCATATGTCTAATAGGTCTTATGTTCCATGTTCTTCAAATGTTCTTGTAATATCTCCCTTTATATCTAGGTTATGTACTCATTTTGACCTTATCTTGGTAAATGGTGGAAGACATTGATCCACGCCCAATTTCTGCCAGACTGCTTTCCAGCTTTCCCTAAAATGTTTACCAAATAATGAATTCTTATCCCAAAAACTTAAGTCTTTACACTTGTCAAACACTGAGTGACTATATTCGTTTGCTGCTGTAGATTGTATGGCTACTCTGATCCACTGATCTACCTTTCTATTTCTTAGCCAGTACCAGATAATTTTGATAATTACGGCCTTATAATATAGTTTAAGATCTAGTACTGCTACACCTCCTTCCTTTACATTTTTTTCCATTAGTTCCTTTGATATTCTTGACCTTTCGTTCTTCCAAATGAATTTTGGTATTTTTTTCTAGCTCTGTAAAATAATTTTTTGGTCTACTTTCCTCATCTTTAAAATGAGATGGTTGGGGTGTATTCTCTCTAGGTTCCTCCTCAGCTCTACCAGCCTATGACATGATGGTTCAGAATTAGGGTCCTTAGTTTAGCCCCCTTCCATGAGTGCTGCTAGCAGTAAAATGGGCAGCTAGGTGCCACAGTGGATATAGCATCTGACCTGGAGTCAGGAAGACCTGAGTTCAAATCTAGCCTCAGACACTTACTAGCTGAGTGACCCTGGGCAAGTCACTTCACCTTGTTTGCCTTAATTTCCTCATCTATAAAACGAATTGGAGAAGGAAATGGCAAACCACTCCAGTATCTTTACCAAGAAAACCTCAAATGGGTCATGAAGAGTCAGACATGACTGAAACCACTGAACAACAGTAGCAGTAAAATACCTCACAAAATCTTAAAAGGGTCATTTATGAGGATGCACTCTGTTCTGTAACAATGATTGAGCCACTATAGGAGAGAAACCTGACTGGAAAACATGGGGTTATGGTACAGCCCAAGAGAAACTGGTGGGGAAGGAGAGGAAGAAAATAAAGGGAATTGGGTCTCAAGGACAAGGGGCCCTATAGAGTTCCCACTAACAAGAGGCCTTACAGCCCCAAAGCTATTTACCTTCCCCTCAGTCCCCTGGAGCTCCTGCTTGTCACTGCTTACACACACACACACACACACACACACCCTCCTCACAACCACCCAAGGGCTCTTCAACGTGGAGGAGTCTCCACTACCCAGGGGACTGTGGGCCTGAAGCCAGAACTACATTAACTCAGGAGAGGGGACTTCTGAAATATCCTCCTGAAACCCTAGGCTGGGATTCTGAAAATATTTTGCCACAGAAACTTTCTTACTCATTGTAGTTAAGGTCCAGTTACTATCAGTACAATAATATTTTTCAAGTATATTATTAAGGAGACTGCTGTGAGAACCTTATGTTTTATTGAAATGTCTTCCAAATTCTAAACAACTTAGTTACAAACTTTTTTTTTTTGGCTAGGCAATAGGGTTAAGTGACTTGCCCAGGGTCACATAGCTAGTGAGTGTTATGTGTCTGAGGCTGGATTTGAATTCTGGTCCTCCTGAATCCAGGGCCGGTGCTCTGTCCATTGCATCACCTAGCTGCCCTATATTTCTTACAAATTTTCAAAACACAACTTTTTGTTAAGCCAGGGACTGACTGTATTTTAAGGAGCTAGGGAAGTATGCCATATTTTAGAAATATTTCTGTTTAAAATGGCTTACATAAAAAAAAATTTAGTGAGCTTCAAAGGAGTAAGTTCATATTCTCCTCAAAAGAGAAATGAAGAGGCAATGCACCCTCTTCTTTGCAAAGGTGGAAGCCTAAGGGCATGGAATACAGCTTGCCATGGAATGAGTTGTTCAATGTGTTGATTAGTTTTGCTAAACTTTTTTCCCCCTCCTTTTTATTCTTTCTTACAAGGAATGACTCTCTGGAAGGGATATACTGGGAAACAGAAGTGATGTAAAAATAAAAGATATTAATAAAAAGTTAAACAAAGAACAAAAAAAGGAATTGGCTTTAGTTATCTGGGAAACTTATTTATTATTCAGGGGACAACCTAGGATTGTCGAGAGTTAAGTAGTTCTACGATATCTTTTCCTTCTGAATCCTCAAGTTGCTTGAGCTTCTTATGGTACTTGCCATATTCTGCTTTGAACTATAATTATTTGTGTATTTGCCTCTCCCCCAATAAACTCCCTGAGCAAAAGGATTTGTGTCTTACTCATTTTTATATCCTCTGAAACACCGCACCAAAGAGCTTTCTTCGGGTAGGTACTCAACAAAAAGCTGTCATGGTGAACTGAATAAATGAGGTATTGCTCTACATGACAGTAATAAGAGGCAGCAAGGTAGAGTGGAAAGAGCACTGGATTGGGATTCTGGAAAAACCAAATTGTGACACTAGCTAGGGGGATAATAATAGCCAAGTCACTTAAGTTGTTAGAGCCTCAGTTTCCTCATCTACAAAAATGGAGTATCTACCTTGTGGGGCTATAAAGATCAAATGAGATAAATGAATAGAAAATATTTCATGAAAGTTCAAGTGCTACATAAATTTTGATTATTTATTATTATCCTATGAGAGGCAGTCATGGCTTAGTGGATAGAGAGGTGGCCCTGGAGCCAGGAAGACTTGTGTTCTAGTCCTGCCTCTGACACATACTGGTTGGGTGTCCTTAGGAAAGTCACTTAATTGACCTTAGCCTCAGTTTCCTTTAAAATGGGAATAATAGTACCTACCCCAGGTTTGTTGTGAGGATCAAATGAGGTAATATAGATTCAAGCACTTTGCCAACCTTAAAGTGCTGAATATATGTTAGCTTTTATCATTATTATGTATTATTATTATTATGAGAGGCAGCCAAGTGGCTAGAAAGCTGGTCTTGGGGCCAGGGGGATCTATCTCAGTCCCATATCTGAGACCCTCAACAAATCACTTAACCTTTCACTGCTCTGGGCAATTCAGTCTTCCAGAACTAGAAGAGAATGGAGTTGAATATACAAGAAAACCTGTGGAGAAACCATTTTGGCTTCAACTAAAGTTGAAAGTATTTACAAATAAGTATCTACCTTTGTGTTTTAGTAATAATGTCTCTTGAACATTTTGTTTTAAAGATTCAAGATTTTATGGGGTTTCGGTCATCATTATCATCAATGATTACCATAGAAGACTGTAGCTATAGAGGGTGAAGAAAATTGGGCTGGGCATGTACTGACCCTATAAGTTAAGTCTCTTAAATCCCTGAAGAATGATGGTTTTCTTGTCAGTTGCCTCTTTCCCCTAAAAGAAAAAAATTCCCATTAAAGATCCCAGTAAATCAAATTTCTACTGTATTATTAGTTGCATTTTTTTAAACATGGGGAATCTGAGGTAGAACCAGTGGAAGCAATCTTATTAGACTTTCTTCCTCAACATATTTAGTACAAATGCCCTTTGGGATGATGTTTGCCATTTCTGCACTGCCTTTACTCATCCTATCCCCTGCTAGACATTTTAAATTCTTCACTAGGGTTTGAATGAACCTTCCTTTGGTGATCTGGTTCAGTTGGGCATCAAGCCATCTGAAAGAAGTTCCCTCCAATTTTCTTCAGGGAAATTATCCTGGAGTCCACAGTTAAGACATATCACTTCTTCTACTAGAATGCCCCTTTATTTCAGGTTCTTAGATTTCATCCCACCTTCACACTTCCCTTCCTGCAGTTTTCTGCGCCCAAATATATGTCATTATTTCTGGATTACCAACTCTTCTGTTTTCTAACTTCCCAGGAGCACTTAGTCTTGTGCCCTCCTCTCATTTTAGCAGATGAAGGGGCCTCAACCTGAAGATCTAGTTCTTACTAAAGGTACAGTCCCTAGAACACCCATAGACATCATACAAGGTGAGGATGGCCTTAGAGGCTGAGGACCAAACCAGGCTCCTGGGACGAGTGAGGTGAAACCTGAAGTTCTAGGGATGAAAGGGGTGGGAGGAACGGTAAGGATAATACTGGGATGTCCCTGAAGCCCCCAACTGTTCATTCCCCAAATCCAAGCTTGCCTGTGGGTAATGAAACTTCCTCAGATACAGCTGAGAGCTGAATTCAGCCAGGTACGTAGTCTCTCGTTCGCTTCCTTTGCTGCTGACGTAATCAAATGGAGCAACCTAGGACCCCTAGGTACAAAGAGAAAAGTGAGAGAAAAGTTCTGACTTGGCAACTGTTGGTTATGGCAGGTTTGGGGGGCAGAGGCGCCTGGAATCTGGGATGATGGATTTAGAACTCGAATCAAAAGTTTTCTCACGTAATCTAGTTCAACTCCCTCATTTTCCACAAGCACCGATCAGAAATCAAGTAATTGGGGTCAGCTAGGTGGCACAGTGGATAGAGCTCCAGCCTTGGAGTCAGGAGGACCTAAATTCAAATACTTACTAGCTGTGTGACCCTGGCAAGTCACTTAACCCCAATTGCCTCACCAAAAAAAAAAAAAATCAAGTAATTGCTTATTTTCGAGGCATGCGGCACCTGTGGAAGCAGCCTCCTGCTTCCTAGATCAGCACTCTTTCCACTAGTGCATCCAGTCTTCCAAAGCTCGTCCAAATGGAGGCTGCTTCTAACGGGCCTCACTAGCCCAGCCCTAGCTCACACTCGTCCACTTTTATCATGAACCACCGGAGTCTCCCAACGACTTTCTCAGCCTTTAATCTTTGATCCGTTCTTCGCCCAAGCAACCAAACTGCTCTTTTCTAAGGCAAGATTTAGTGACTGTTTTTTTACTTCGGGGCTCAAAGAACCTCGCCTCCCGACTGGCTTGGCAGTCAAGGCTTTTCCCAAACCTTTGCCCCATCGGGACCTCCCGGCGGCAGCGGAGCCTCCACTGGTCCCCACAAGCCGGTTCGCAATCACTTTTCTCCCGGAGCCTGAGCCGCGCCGCCGCCCCCCCCCCGTCCCGACGGACGGCACCCCGGGGCGGCGTGAGGGTGGACCCAAGTTAACTGGACCGTGCGAGGCTAAGCCCAGCGGCGGGGTGGGGGGAAACGGGGGCAGCTCCACCAAGGGGGCGGGGCGAGCACTCCACTTAACTGAAGGGGCCTTACGTCAGTGGGCGGGCTACTACCTCCAAGGCCCAGTTAATCGAAGGAGGTAGCTACCTCAGTCGGTTGGCGGGCTCCAGTCAAAGGGGCGGGGCTTACCCAGCTCCGTTAGTAGCCTTCAGTTAATGCGGGGGGGGGATTACATCAGTCAGTTAGCCGGCTCTAGGTAACAGGTGGGGGGCACGGTTTTTCAGGAGGTTACCCTCAGCGAGGGCTCAGGGGTCAGGCCGGGAGGAGGGCGCTGTCCACTGCAGCCTGGAAGGGGCGCCCTCGAGGGCCCGGAGCTTACCTCAGAGGGGCTCCGGCTCTTTGGGCCCGCGGTGGGCGGCACCCACCTCAGTCTCAAGGAGAGGGAAGGAGGTGGTGGCAGCCAACGTAGCCCCCACAGGCCTCCCTTCCCTTCCGTTTAACTTCTACACACCTGTCAAAGAAGAGGAGCGGTGTCAGGAAGGGCACCCAAACGATTCATCGGCGCCCGACCTGACCGCCGCCCTCAGGGAAAGCAATCCCGGTTGGAAGTTCGAATTCGAAAATTGTTACATTTTGAGGTCACGCACGCGCAGAACCCGGGTGTGTGTGGGGGGGGAGAACCACTGTCGCTAGGCAAAGTTGGCAGGGGTGAAGGGTTGTTGCTAGGAGGAGAAAATGGCGCCTGTGGCCGAAGGAGAACGGGGATTTGCTGAGTGCTTGTGAGAAGAAATTCCCGAGAATGCTCCCCCCCGCCCCCCACAGCTTCTGAAGGAGAGGGAGCAGTCCAACGGACGGTAGCCCGGGACCTGGACTGCATCCTACTCCCTATGTGCCCCTCCCCATCCGCCAACATCCGCGGCCCGCACCGCCATTTTTGTTCCGGTGAAGGGAAGAGAGTTTGAGAAGATGGCGGCTAGCCACTTACTGCCTCCGCCCCTCCCCCCATTTAGTTGGCGCGCAGCGATTCAGCTAGTCAAGGCTGCAGCCTTCTCCACGAGACTATACTCCTTCTTTCTAATGCCCTGGTATAGAAATAAATGGTCCTGAGCCCGTCAGAATGAGGCAGCCCCGACGTTCACTACTGGGGCTCGCAGGAAAATGGCCGGTGGCCTGAAGGGGGCGGGAAGGAAGAGAATGGACAGGGCTCCAAGACCACCATTTTCTTCCCTAAAAGGGGAAATCCAGGGTTCGCAAGGCGTGGCGGGAAGGGAGGAGTAACGGTCGCGCACCCTTGGGCAGCTCCAATCTTTGTTGGCAGCGAAGGAAGGCGGGGGCAGGGGGGAAGGCCGGCCCTAGGGAGTGGCCAAAATGGCGGCTCCCTGTTAAGAACGTGAGAAGTAGCCAATAAGCCGGCCGCCCTTCCGGCCTCCGCCAGGTGTCGGCTTAGGGGGACGAGCTCTGTCGCCGAAATCAGGCGCAAGGACGGGCAGCGTGGCATCCGCTTCGGCCATCTTCAGCCGCAGTGGCGCTGAGGCGCTCCACATGGGCAGCTAGCCGCCATCTTTGTTATGAAGAGCTAAAATGGCGGCTCCCAGGCAACCGAGGCTACGTCCATATCAAATTGCAGCCCATTTCTTTGGCTCCACCCTCCCCCGCCTCTTAATTTGGGTATAAAGTAATGAAGTCCCTCCAAGTGGGAAGGTGGTGACACGTATGTCTCAATCGCATGCCCAGCTCCATCCAGAGCGGCCTTGGCAACGGCAGCTAGGGATGCCACATCCTGGCACTTGCACCAGCGCAGCCATGTTTGTTTTCAAATGCACCCACATCACGCCCGCTTTCCTTCCCACAAACTTGACCACCCTCATCCGGGTAGTTCCATCACTGCCATGTTTGTTTTGAGAGGCGGAAAAAAAAAATATGGCAGCTCCCAGCTACAAGGCATGACTCCAAATTCGCTTTGCGTTTGGCACTGAAGTAACTCTGACCCCCTTGTTTCTAAGTTGCCTGCTCAACTCCCAGTGACTTTCAACACTTTTCATAAGGCGACTGGCCCGGCCGAGGTCTGTCACTAAACTTTTCTACTAGTGTTCATCCGGGTACTCCGGAGCGCGCATATATAAACACAAAAACACACACACACACACAGACACACACACGCGCGCGCGCGCGCCCCCCCCATCTTCCTAGTGTTGTTGGAGGAAACTACTTACTGTCGCTATAGGAAAGAGGGGCGGGGCTAAAATGGCGGCTCCCAGGGAGGAGGCATGAAACCCCGCAGGATGACATGGGTCCAAAAGGGCCCTGAAGGGGAGGAGCGGATAAAACATTGCTAAGCTTCAAAAAGTCCGCTGCGGAATTGCCGAAAGATTTAGGGTTGCCGGTCCCTTTAAGGGCCCTAGCAGGGAGGGAGGAACGAGGGCTGGGGGGAGTGACGTTCCTCAAACCCCGCCCTCCCGACCAGCCGCCGTCGCCATGTTTAGTTGTTGCTTCTCCACTCAAGATGGCGGCTCCCAGGGAGGAGGCATGAGCGCCCTGAGTCTACCGCTTTCTGTGCCGTACAGCTGCTACCTTCGGGCTTAACTTCAGCGCTCTGCAGGGCGCAGAGAGGGGAGCAGGGGATCCTCGCGAAGGAGGACGCGGCATTGCCGTTGTCCTTCTTTTGCTCTGCTGCTGGGGAAAGTGAGCCAGGAGGAGAGCAGGGGGAAAGGAGGAGCCGGTCCCAAGATGGCGGCTCCCAGGGCAGTGGCGGCGGCCTGAGCTGCAGGGCTGGGCTGGGCTGGGCTAGGCTGGGGGTGCCAAGTGGCCGCTTCGGGCTCCGCGCGCACACGGGCCAGAGGGTCCGGAGAGCTCGTGGCCGCCCCACTGGCTGCCCTCAGGCTTAGGTCAGGGTTGTAGCGTAGGCGGTTGCGTCAGGGAGCCCGAAGCGGGCGCGGGGCCGGCGGCCAGGGGAACCGTCCCAAGATGGCGGCTCCCAGCAGCGCGCTCTGAGCGTCAGAGGCGCCCGCGGGAGCAGGGCTCGGCGCGTCCTGTCGGCTGCAGCGCCCGCCCGGGGAGCCGAGCAGCCAGTGCAGCTCAGGGGGAGGTGGGCGGGCTGCCGGGGCTCGGCCATTTCCGGCGGAGGAGGGCTCAGCCCGAGGAAGGGAGGCGAGAGCGCGGCTGCACAAGATGGCGGCTCCCAGGGCTGGCTTGTGAGGCGGAGTCGCCGGCCGGGCCATTGGGGCCTCAGAGCCGAGGCGGACGCGCTCTCAGGGGGCCGAGGCTGTTGCTGCCGCCGTCGCTGCTGCTGTTGCTGCCGCCCCTATTTACCGAGGGCGTCGCGAGTGCTGAGAGAACGGGGAGTCGGGCTTGAGTACGGGGGGGGTGAGTAACATGGCAGCCTCCATAGAGGCGGCCGTTGCTGTGTGAGCGGTTTCGCTGGCGCCCCGAGCTCCGCGGCGCCCACCGGACTGAGACTGCTAACTTTTCCACCGCCTCGGCCCGACTCGAGCACCCCTACCCTTCCCCTCCGGTGTGCCTGCCCCTGCCCCGGGCCATGGCTTCGGGCCTGCAGCCCGCGGCGGTCTCCGCCTCAGCCGCCTCCGCCGCCTCCTCCTCTGCAGCCGCCGCCGCTACCGCAGCCGCCGGCAGTTCAGTGGCTCAGCTCCTGCAGCCGCGCTGGAAACGTGTGGTAGGCTGGTCGGGACCGGTACCGCGACCCCGCCACGGCCACCGCGCCGTGGCCATCAAGGAGCTCATCGTGGTGTTTGGTGGTGGCAACGAGGGGATCGTGGACGAGTTGCACGTGTATAACACTGGTGAGTGCGCCCTGGGGCTGGGGGGGGGGGCGCGGGGCAGCGTGGCGGGGCCGGGCCGGGCTGTCCTGCTGCTGCTGCTGCTGCTGCCGCTGCCGAGCGCCCGGCTTCCTTCCCGCTCCCGCCCCCTCCGCCTTAACCCTGTCCTTCCCCTGTAGGCGAGAGTGCGCCTGGGCTGCGGGGAGGAGGCGGGAGTGGGAGCGGGAGCGGGGGCGGGGGCGGGGGCCGGGGCCGGGGCGGCAGCGGGACTGGTGGGGCTGATGCGTCCCGGGAGCCGGGGGTGAGCGCGGGCGGGAAAGCCGCTGTTTTGCTTTTCCCGCCTCTGAACTCTTGCTGCTGCTGCAGCCGCCGCCGCTGCTACTGCTACTACTGCCGCCGCCCCCTTTTTATCTCTGTCTTGTCTGCCTTAGCAGTGAAACAGTGACAGCTGCCCCCCACAAACACACATTCCATGCCTGGGGGTGGGGGTCGGGGGGGGGGTGGAGAGCAGTGATGTTGGGCAGGTGCAGATCTGCTGCAGGGCTCAGCCCTGGAGGCGCGCGACGCGGGAGCCTCAGCTCCTGGCTACTTTTTCCAGCTAGCTTTCCTTGCTTAGCACGACTTTCCTGCAGTTGCTTGCACTGCTGGGGATAGCCATTTGCTAACTAGAAATCTGTTGCTCCAAAAGGCTAAACTCAGGTTGGCGGGTAAATGTTGTGAGGGCATGCATCTTGGCTCAATAATAAAAGCCACAATAGCACTAGCTGGCCAGAAAATGGGCCTCCCATCACTGTGCAAGCAAAAGTCCGTAACAGGGAACCTCCATTCACTTGTCACTAAGTCATTTCCCACAGCCCTATCTTTGGAACCCCTTTGAGGTTTAAATAATAGTATTCTATGCTGTGAGGAAACTCACTTTTGCCATCAGGCTTCTTGTACCTCTGCATTGGGGGGTGGTTATCTTTTCCTACCCCTGATGTGTCCAGATTAGGGCCGGAGTGTATCCTTCCAGCCTCCTAGTTTATTAAACAAGGCAGGCCTGACATCTCTGGCCCAAAAACTGAGAGCTTTTCTTCAAAGCTGGGTATGTCCTTCCTGCCACTTGGACTGATTTAACTGGAATTAACCTACGTGAAAGGACTGCTTAGCACGTAGGATAGCTGTGAGCCAAAAGTTGGGGGTCAGGCTGTGCAAAACCTCTATTAAGAGAAGGGTTAAGCTTTGCAGAAGACAGTGGGTGGAGTTTTGTGGGGTATATGAGGAACAATGCTTAAAGACTAAGGAGAGCAAAGAAAGGGAAGGCTGGCTCCACTGTCCCTTTTTGGAAAAAGTGCTTCATGTTAATTGGCGTGGAACTAGGTTAAAATGCACACAGAGAGGAATTGATCCCACCTTTTTTTTTTTAAACCAACTTAGAAATAACTTTTCTTCCATGTTCCTTAAGCTCATCTTGTTAACAAAGCCTGTAACGTACCAGGGCACAAATGGGTGGTCAGGCCTGGCAAGAGATGGGTTTGGGAATATCTTTGTGTCTGGGTTTTAGGGGTGCTCTGAGGACAAACCCTCTCCTTCCTTGAACTACCTGATGACGCTGTGATGCCCAGCTGCCTTTGCTGCCAATGTACAATTGACTGGCAGGCACTCAAATACCCTGTTACTTTGTGTGCCTGGCATCATTGCCACTAGTGCTGGCTTTGGTTTGAGGGGGAGCTAAGAGGAAGAGGTTTTGAGCTAGGCTAACAAGACTGCTAAATAGGCAGCATAGTTAGAGTGCCAGACTTAGAAAGACCTAGTTTCATATCTTGCTTTTGACCTGTGACCCTGGGCAAGCCCTCTAACCCCTGGGAACCTCACTTTCCTCATCTGTAAAATGAATAACAGCTGTGACACTTACTCCCTGAGCAGCTGTAGAGTCAAATGAGATAATGTTTTGAAGTTCATGTTCCCTGTGGCGCTCTCTGTCCCCCCTTCTTCCCTCTCTCACTCTCCTCTCTCGATTTCTATCTCTCATCCCCACCTAACCCCCCCCACACACACACACCCCTAGCTATCATTGATACTGTTCAGGTTCTTCTTGCCCCATATTACAAGGCAGTTCTTTGGTTTGTACTTAGGCATTCACCCCTGCCAATGTCAACTTTCTCTCTCTCTCTCTCTCTCTCTCTCTCTCTCTCTCTCTCTCTCTCTCTCTCTCTCTCCCTCTCTCCCCCCCTCCCTCCCTCTCTCTCTTTCTTTTTTGAGGCAGTAGGGTGAAGTGACTTGCCCATGGTCACACAGGTAGGAAGTGTTAAGTGTCTGAGACGAGATTGGAACTCGGGTCTTCCTGAATCCAGGGCCTGAGCTCTATCCACTGCGTCATCTAGCTGCCCTAATGTCAGCTTTCAAGTGCAGATTGCTTAAGTTTTTGGTTCCTCATCCGAAGCATCTCTGCACACTCCCTAGAGAAAGGGACCTTTGTTTCAGGGGACAGGGTGCAGTACAAACCCAGCTGCAGTTAGAGGAAATAGTGGAGCAAAATGAGATAGGAACAAAATCAACTTCTCAAGTACCAGGCCTGTTTCAGATATAACTTCTGAACAATGAACAGTTCTGGAAATCCTATTCAGATGAAGTCTGGAGCAGCCTCCCTAACATCCAAGCTCTCTTCTAGAAAGTCAGATGGGAACCTAATTAAAATGGTTCCAAAACCAGTGCTCACCCCTTTCTGGGCCTCCTGGGAAGTGTGCATTTTCATCAACATCTGAAAATGGGGCACTTGTCTAGGGTCTTGGGGGCTTTTTAGGTTAGATGCAGGCCTTGACCCTCTGGAAGTTCCAAAGTGAGACAAAAAAAATCACCATTGCAAGGCATGTAGGGCCTGTAAGTGCATTATTAACTAACACACACACACACACACACACACACACACACAAAATCTTTGGGTACCCTAGGTAGTGGGCACTTGAATGTAAACTGTCAGAGAAGAGAGGGAATTTACTCTTTCACATAAGGACTAACTTCATGCAGGGCTAGTCCAAAGGAAATTGGAAAATTAAATAGAGTAAACCCACATAAATCATCAGCATTTTTGTTTGCTAACAAAGCCCAACAGCAAGAGACAGAAAGAAATTCCATTTAAAATAACTATAGACAATATAAAATACTTGGGTTTTTTTTTAATTTTTGTTTTATTTTGTTTTTTGGCTAGGCAGTGGGGTTAAGTGACTTGCTCGTGGTCACATGGCTAGTAAGTATTATGTGTCTGAGGCCGGATTTGAACTCAGGTCCTCCTGAATCCAGGGCCGGTGCTCTATCTACTGTGCCACCACGCTGCCCCACAATATAAAATGCTTGGGAGTCTACCTACCAAGACAAACTCAAGAACTAGATAAACACAATCATAAAACACTTTTCACACAAATAAAGTCAGATCTAAAGAATTGGAAATTGAGGAATTAAGATGATAATAGGAGTTCATGCTTATTACTAGAGTGTTTCACTCATGAGGTGATGGGTACAATAGATATCATCCCTATTTGATATGTGTGGAAACCAGGTATAAGGAGCCCAAAGGAGTTGACAGGAGGTGTTAGAGGTAGGATTTGAACCCAGGGCTCTCCTACTCAGTGCCTAGTACTCTTTCAGCATGCACTGCTGCTGCTGCTTCTCCTTCTCCAGATGGTCCTTGGTTTTGCATATTTGAAGAGGCTTCCTGTAGATGACAGAGCAGATTGCTTCTCCAACCAGGATTGGGAGGCAGCAGTGATAAAGAGTGAGCTCTCTGTTTCTGCAGGTATCTGAGCAGAAGCTAGATGATACTCTGCCAGTATATGAATTAGAAAATTGATGAATGACCCAGTAGATTAAGCTGTAGCATTTTTCAAGATCCCTGCCAAGCCTAAATCTGTCATTCAGTGCTTTAACATGTGGTACCTATGGGGCATTTATTTTCAACCTAATAGGTACAGTTGAGGACTGGTTAGCTCAGTGCATTGCTTGACACTTTTAAAAGATCTGTGTTGAATTGGAGGTGAGTGAAAGGAGCATGATGCTGCCATAAGTTTAATCTCAGTCTGGCCCAGTTAGTTTTGCCGTTTCCTAGTCACAAATTACATCCCTAGCTGATCATTCCAAAGTCGTGTGGAATCACTTGAAAGCTTGGACACTATTAGAAAAAATAACTTGAAACACATATCTTCCTGGTGATAGGGTCAGTAGCAGACGACCCCTTGTTTGATATGGGGAAGGTAGTATATGCCATTCTGGCCATTCTGACCTGGGGAAGATATCCATCCTTTTCCCTTCTCTTCTCCACCTCCCCCCCCTTCGTTTCCCCAGCTATCAAATGAATAGGGTTGAACTAAATAACTAAATGTCCTGAGGTTCCTTGTAGCTCTGAGACCTAGATGATTGATAGCTTCCTGCTTTCGTTCTGATCAGTGCCAAAAACTCAGTGTTTTGGACCTCATAGGGTGGGCCTATTCTCTTTCTCCCAAGGGTGGGTGAAATTGCTTTGACTCATTATTTACAGATTGTTTTATACCTGCTTTTATTGTTTGGCTCATCTATCTAGAAGATTGTGGGAATTTGCCTGGTAGCTTTAGCATTTGTGGCTCTCTGGGACAGGGGTGGATTTGTTCTGTGAAGTTTGGATTCAGTCAAAGGGCCGAACTTGAGGACCTAGAGACTCACATGTGTGGCCTCGAGGCTGCAGGTTCCCCACTCCTGCAGGCCTAGGAAATATGGGGAGAGGAGGTATCTTGGGCGAAGAAGATGAGAAAAATGTTAATATAGATATAAGCTGTAGAAAAGCTATTTAATTAATGTAATTAAGGTGGGGGGGGCTGTTACCCAGCATGCAATAAAGGAGTATGTAAACAAGTCCAACTGAAGCTATTTGGTTTGGAAGAGTTATACTCACCCAGCTGCTTCCCCCACTCCCCGTGAATTTTCAATAGTTCAAGATGGCTGCAACTTTGAAAATCTAAGTGATGTCCTGAGGGCTGCCTATTTTTAAAATAAAGTTGAAATGTTTGTGTATGCTTCCTGAGACAGCCCTTCCACAGAGATTTTGCACTGGACCTTTCTTCAGATATTCTTCCTGAATCTTGTGAGAAACTTCTTTAGGAAAAAGGAGGGGAAATAATTCTCCAAACCTTATTCAAGGGATTTTTTAATGCATATTTTATTTTTCCCCCAATTACATTTTAAAACAATTTTTTAAAAGTTATGAGTTCTAAAATCTCTTCCTTCCCTCCCCCCCATAAGCTATCAGATAGGTTATACATGTGCAATCGTGTAAAACATTTCCATATTAGTCATTTTTGTACAAGAAAACTTGAAAAAAAGAAAAAGAATGAAAGTGAAAAATAGCTTGCTTCAGCCTGTATTCTAACAATATCAGTTCTTTCTCTGGAGGAGGATAGCATGCTTCATCATGAGTCCTTTGGAATTTTCTTGGATCATTGTATTGCTGAGAATAGCTATGTCATTCACAGTTCTTCATCTTTCAATATTACTGATACTGTGTACAATATTCTCCTGGTTCTGCTCACTTCACTTTGCGTCATTTCATGTAAGGCTTTCCAGTTTTTCAGAAACTGTCCTGCTTGTCATTTCTTATAGCATAATATTCCATTACAATCATATACCACAGCTTGTTTAGCCATTCCCCAATTGATGGGCATCTCTTCGATTTCCAATTCTTTGCCACCACAAAAAAAGCTTCTGTAAATATTTTTGTACATATGAGTCCTTTTCTCTTTTTTTATGATCTCTTTGGGATACAGCCCTATCAGTGGCATTGCTGGATCGAAGGGTATGCACAATTTTATAGCCCTTTGGGCATAGTTCCAAATTGTTCTCCAGAATGGTTGGATCAGTTCACGACTCCACCAGCAGTGCATTAGTGTCCCATTTTTCCCACATCCCCTCCAACGTTTATCATTTTCCTTTTTTGTCCTATTAGCCAGTCTGATAGGTGTGAGGTAGTACCTCAGAGTTGTTTTAATTTGCATTTCTATTAGAGGGATGGGGGGGGGCAGGGGCAGGGCTCAGCGCTGCCTAAGAAAAGGAGTTGTTTGGGTAGAGAAAGCACAGGTGGTGAAGCTGAGACCTCCAGGCAACTGTGGTAACTCCTGGTGAGGCTGCTGGAATCAGGTCATGACCATGGGCTTCTTAATCCCACCAACCCTAGCCTTCACAGCCACAGTCAGAAAAGAGCAGTTTATATGTGGCTCAAAGCAGCAGCTTCAATCTATCTCACTGTCCGTTTACTCTGCCTTTGAACACTAACTCAAGGGCTGAGGATGGAACACTTTATTTCTTTTGTGAAGCAGTTGGCTTGTGGTTCACCCTGGCTCTTTGTACCTTTCCCCTCCCACCCCCAACTGGAAGCCACATAAGCTTTCAAAGATGTTTGGCTGGCCTGTTGAGGTGCTGGTCTCTCTGACAAGGTGGGATGATGAAGCTCCTCCAGGCCTTTCACCATGGTCCCTGCTGATCTCACTGGTTTATTGGTACTCCGGGTAGTAGGGTGCCTTGATTTAGTGCAACCTAGGCTGTTCTGGTGGTGGTGTGGGGAGATCCCATTGGAGATGTGTGTGTGAGCATACAAACACTCATGAAACACACACACACACACACACACACACACACACACACACGATGGGAAGTGGTTTGTGGTATATTGTCACCACTGAACAGTCACTCTGCTCTTGTGAGAAGGGGTTGATTAGTCCTTTACTCAGCCACAAAAAAAAAACAAGCTCTCCACTTAATTTCCCCCTTTTCTTCCATTTGCTTAGTCTCCTGACTGAACCCCTGGAAAAGAAGCAGTCTGCTTCCCCTTGTGCTCAGCAGATGTGCGGACACCATTGATTAGCTGAGCATCTCTGCCTCATGACAGAGAAGAAGACTCTTTAGCTTCCAAGTACAGAGGATTTAGGCCCTGAGTACTCAATTAGGCAGCAAGTGTTTTTAAGTGCCTTCTGTGTGCTAAGCACTGAGGATACAAAAAAAGACCAAAATAGCCCCTGCCCTCATGGAGCTCACATTCTAGTGGGAGCAGGGAACAGCGTAGGAATATTGAAGAAGGTAATCACTTCTAGCTTCTGGAGCCTGGGAAAGGCTTCTTGTAGTGGGAGGATTTGGAGTTACGGGGGGAAGGGGGGGTCATTGCCAGCATGGAGTACACCCAGAGAAAAAGCATGGACACGGGAGCTGGAGTGCTATGTTTGAGGGACTGCAAGGAGGCCAGTCTAGCTAGATAGAGAGGGTGTAGAAGGGAGATTGAAAGGGTAATGAAGAACTTTAAAGGCTGAGCAGCAGAGTTTCTATTGGTGGTGTGAAGGGAATTAGGATTCTTACATAAAAATCTAATCTATTAGTATATTCATCACACATATAACCATTATTATGAAAATCCTAATTCCTGACTCTATCCTATTCCCTTCACAGTGGTAATAGGGTACTAATAGATCTCATTGAGCAGGGATGGCAGAGGCCAAGCTAACTTGAGAAAAATCACTAATAGCCAAGTGGAAGCTGGATTGACGTGTTGAAAGACTGGAGGCAGGACAGTTATTGCAGTAGTCTAGGTGAGAAGAGAGGCCGGCCTGAGCTAGGCTTCTGGTTGTAGATGACTGGAAAAGAGATGCATTCAATAGAGGTCTTTAGATAGAAAGGACAAGATTTGGCAACAGATTGAATATATGGAGTGAGTGGGAGAGCATCATTGAGGTTGATGCTGAAATTTCAAGCCTGAGGGAATGGGTTCTGTTGGGCAAACTATTGAACATTATAGCAAGATGAGTAGCCAGTGGTAATCCAGTGGAGAACAGGAGAGATTCGGGGAAGAAGATTCCCAAAATCAGGTTATGTTACTCAGTAGCTTTCTTCTTACGAGGAACTTGGCATGAAACAAAGTCATTTTCCAGGCAGAACTAGCTGGGCGTTGGAGGAGAGGGGTGTGTGTGTGTGTATGTGTGTTGGGAGGGGCACTACTTCAAGACTCTGAGTGGGAGGAGTCCAAGCTGACCACCCAACTACCACCACCTACCACCCCTGAAATCTGTAGTGTAGCAACATCTTCCTGTGTGGTTTATGAGGTCAAACAAGGGGTAGTGGTGGAATGGTTTTAATGCCTTGGTCAGTAAGGGACAGAGAAGAAATGGTAGGATCTTCAGCCTCTCCCCAGCCCAGAGTCTTTCCTGAGCAGTTCTGACTGTTCCTGCTTCTTTCCAGCAACCAACCAATGGTTCATCCCCGCGGTTCGAGGGGACATCCCTCCTGGCTGCGCAGCCTATGGCTTTGTTTGTGATGGGACTCGCCTGCTGGTGTTTGGTGGGATGGTGGAGTATGGGAAGTACAGCAATGACCTCTACGAGCTGCAGGTAACAGCCTGGCCTAGGGACCTTTCAAAGGTTGGAAGGATGGGGGGGGGGGCAGCTAACTTTCTCAGACATGGCGAGTAGGTGGCAGAAGTAGGGAGGCTCTGAAAACATGCTGAACCAATGTTCCTCAGCTAGCTCGGCTCGCCCAAATGAGGGCCTCCTTGGCGGGGTGCAGGACCTCAGAATCTCCCTGCTCTAACAAGCAGGTGGCTGTTGGGTTTCCCTGGGGGCTACACCCTCTCTATCATGCTTCTCCTCTGGGCTCTGACCATTTCTTCAGTAGGACTTGATACCCTTTGTCCTCTGGTTACAGGCAAGCAGGTGGGAGTGGAAAAGGCTTAAAGCAAAAGCCCCCAAAAATGGGCCTCCTCCGTGCCCTCGCCTTGGGCACAGCTTTTCTCTCGTGGGCAACAAATGCTACCTGTTTGGGGGTTTGGCTAACGACAGTGAGGATCCCAAGAACAACATTCCGAGGTGAGGCTTTTCCCTTTGGCCGCAGAGTCCTCTGAGTCAAGGCTCCAAGGCCTCATGGTCCCAGACATGAAGCCAGGAGCCTCAGTTGGTGAGGAAGGACCTCAATTGAGGTGTAGTGACTAGGCTAGGATTTCTTAAGGATCTCTCGTGCAGCTGCCTTGGCACAGTGTCTTTGTTCTAATACCTAGACACTCAGGCCTTTCAGAGCTTGAGAATCATGGAACAGCTGAATCATGATTCGAAGCTATGAAGTGAGGAGGTGGGCCGGATCTCTGAACGTCCCTTCCAGCTCTGACCTACATGAATTGACAGTCTAGCCTGGGGAAATAGAATTTCAGGGATGCAACCCCTCCCCACACCCCCATAGAGGTCTAGTTTGCCTTTATGCTTAGCCTTGGCTGCCTGCAAGTGTGGTATTTTCCAGGGCCTTAGGCCAAGGGGCCTTCCTGTCTGGAGATGTTCTTGTCTCACTCTGTACAATGCCTAGCTCTGTGTGTCGGAGGGGCAGAAAGCTACCTGGGGCTTCAGCTCACTTTGGGAAATTGATGTGGGACCCTTCCCAGGGAGAAGGTGGAATGGGAAATAGGAGTGAACTTGGACTTCTGGCTTTTCATAATTCTCTATGCAGCCAGGTCTGCTCTAGAAATATCTGGCCTATAAAACCTACTGCCTAGGTGGACGTATCAGTGAATGTTACAACTTAATCGGACTGCTCTCTTTTTTAGGTACTTGAATGATCTGTACATCCTGGAGTTACGACCAGGCTCTGGCGTAGTAGCCTGGGACATCCCAATCACTTATGGGGTCCTGCCACCCCCCAGGGAGTCCCATACGGCTGTAGTCTATACAGAAAAGGACAACAAGAAATCCAAGCTGGTTATCTATGGGGGAATGAGTGGCTGCAGGCTTGGGGACCTCTGGACCTTAGATATCGGTAAGGATCTAAAAGGAAGAGTTGGCTTCTAGCTAGTGTCTAGCATCTCTGGAATGTAAGAGGCAAGACTTTGGGCAAACAAAAGTACGTCTTCGTTCTCTTTTGCTGTTTTGGGCAGAACTTCTCTGAGTGGTTGTGTTTTTGTGTGGTGGCCCTTATCCAGTCAGTTATCCTTAGAACAAAGATTTCCAGCACTTCCTGAGGTCAAAGAGCAAGCTTTTCTACCTGCCCCCCCATTGCACATCTGCCTAAAGAGGCTTCTCTGATGCTGCTAACATACTTTCCCGCTTCTGGAAGAGAGCAGTGTCAGGAGGAAGAGGGCTGGCTTCACACTGGCCTGTTGGCTTATGTGGAATCAGCCTGAGATTGGGAAAGAGTGTACATAGATCGGGGCCTCCTCATGCTGTCCACCCCACCATCAGGACTGTGGTCACTTAACATGCAGCTGTGCCTAGAGAAGGCTAGCTGAGCCAGGAAGGAGCTTGGAGACTAGGCTAGGGGGGATGGAGGGGGGGGGAGGGCGGTATCCTTGAGAAGAAAATACTTGATGGGGCAAGGGGATGCCAGTCCTTCTCTTTGAAGGGTTGGCATATAAAAGAGAGGGAATAAAGTAGCTTTGGGTTGCCAAAAAAATTTTTTTAAAGCAGATTTTCAACTTAACCTGAGAGTATCCTCAAAACTAGAGCTGGCCAACAGCAGAATTTGGGTGGGTAATGTTTTCCATCAATTGAGTTGTTCAAGTAGAAGTGAGACAACCAGTTAGGGGTGCTATGGAAGGAGTTCTGCAGTGGATGGGAGACTGGACCAGGTAATATCTAGTGATTCTACATTCAGTGCTCTCCTCCCCACAGAGAGTGTCACTCTGGGCCAGCAGGGCTCCCTGTAGATTAAGTGCATTTTCTTAGAGGTTGGTAGAAAATTAAACTCTCTCTTGTGTGTACAGAGACCCTGACCTGGAATAAACCTACTCTCAGTGGGGTGGCTCCTCTTCCTCGAAGTCTTCACTCTGCCACCACCATAGGAAACAAGTGAGTCAGTCATCTTCCCCACTGCCAATTCCTTCCCTTTTATGCCTTGTTAGCCCACTGTCCCAGCAGACCCTGAAGGCCAAGGATGAATGTCTTCATTCAGTGAGCAGCTTCCCAAGGCTATTGGTTCTGTGTTTGGGGAGTTGTAGGATTGTATCCCCATGGGATTCCACGTCTTTCCAGAAGGGGGCATGCTTGGGCCTGGGCTTTCAGAAAAAGTGAATGCCCCACTTACTGAAATACTTAAAGTAAACCCAAATAAAGAGTCGTCACATGCACAGAGAAATGAAAACCAACAGGCCCATTACTGGGTCATTGAGGCAATAGTGAGGCCAGAGCCTAAGAGAAGCAAATAGCTTAGGGTAATGGCGTGGGAGTCAGGAGTCTCAAGTTTTTTAACCAGGCAGTGAGACTGTGGACAAGTACCAATGTCTCTGGACCCAGTTCTGTTGCCCATAAAATAAAGAGGTTAGACTTAACTATCTCGGGTTACTTCTGGCTTTAATGTTTTGTGTTCCTATGAAAAGACAAGGAGAGAAATAGAGAAGCTATTCTGTGTCATGTATAGTGGGCTGGCCTTGGAGTCAGGAAGACCTGGGTTCAAATGCCGCCTCTCACACATTCTGACTTTGTGGCCTTGGGCAGGTCACTTCATCTCTGTGTGCCTCACCCAATTCACTGAGACCCTAAGTTGCAGACTAGCTGCATTAGTAAGAGTTTTCCCACTGAAGAGTTCCCTATCCCAAATAGAATCACCAACCCAGACAAAAAGGAGCTTGATTCTCTCTGGAGAGAGGGTTAGTTAGGGAGAGAAGTGGTCAGTAGGGAACTGTTAGGATGCCCTGCCTACATTAGAGGCCTTGCGCTCAGTCTCAAGTTGGCAGATTAGGGAACAAGCCTACAGAACTACTGGCAGGATGCTACCTGAAGACCTTTGCCCCACCCCCAGGCCCTCTGGCCAAATGGACTCAGAAGGAATTCAAGAATGGAGGGGATTGGCACTATTGTCAGGAAGTGAAGTGAATGAGTGTGTTCATAGGGATTCAGTGAGGAGCTTTAAAATTCTAGTAAAAGACTCAGGCCCAGAGGTGAGGAGGAGCTGAGAAGTCAGCACGCCAGGAGGCAGGCTGAAGGCTTTACCCTGGGAGAGTCTGGCAGCCCGTCACCTACATGTCCTGTCCTCCTTCCTCCAGAATGTATGTGTTTGGTGGCTGGGTTCCTCTTGTTATGGATGACGTCAAAGTGGCCACACATGAGAAGGAGTGGAAGTGCACCAACACACTGGCCTGTCTCAACTTAGGTATAACTCTTAGGCAGGTGGGCTCAACGTTCACCCAGGGAGGGCAAGGAGTAGGGACACCCTCCCTTTTCCCCATCCACATTGGGCAGGAGGCAGTGCGGGGCCTGGGCCCAACAGGACAGTCGGACCCTGTTTCCCCTAGAACCAGTCCTGAATTCTGCTGCAAAAATTCACAAGACTTAGAGTCTAATGCACACTGATGGTTTCCTCATCCTTCCCTCCCCTGCCCCAGACACCATGGCATGGGAGGCTATTCTGATGGACACACTGGAGGACAACATCCCCCGGGCTCGGGCTGGGCATTGTGCTGTGGCCATTAACACCCGACTCTATATCTGGAGTGGGCGAGATGGTTACCGAAAGGCGTGGAATAACCAAGTCTGCTGTAAGGACCTCTGGTACCTAGAGACAGGTAAGGTGACTTTCTGAAGCAAGCCAGATTAGGCAGGCCCAAGGGTTTCACCAGAGGCATTCCACTCACTGCTTTCTGATGTGTTTGCATTTATAGAAAAGCCTCCTGCCCCATCCCGGGTGCAGCTGGTCCGAGCCAATACCAACTCCCTGGAGGTGAGCTGGGGAGCAGTGCCAACAGCTGACAGCTATCTCCTGCAGCTCCAGAAGTATGACATTCCTGCTGCTGCTGCTGCTGCCACCTCACCTGCAGCCAACCCAGTTCCATCTGTGCCTATCAATCCCCCCAAGAGCCCTGCCCCAGCTGCAGCAGCCCCTGCCGTGCAGCCACTGGCCCAGGTTGGCATTACACTGCTCCCACAGGCAGCTGCAACCCCCCCAACCACCACCACCACCATCCAGGTCTTGCCGACAGTGCCTGGCAGCCCCATCCCTGTGCCCACCACAGGTCGGACTCAAGGTGAGCCATATGGCCACGTGTTGAGCTGGCCTCTGCCTGGTTGGGGAGAGCAAGGGAATGGTCTAAGGGAGACCTGACTCTGTGGACAACTGAAATCCTTAGCAGAGGATGGGTCACTTAGTCAGATCTTAAACTGTGTAAGCATTGTGTGAAAGGAGGAAGTGGTCCAGTCTCTACCCTGAGGGTGATTTCAGTCTGAGAATGGCGCAAACAAAACCAGGCACCCAACTAGGAACAGTGGCCTAGAGCTTTAACCATCCAGGGGGGCAGTGACACAGGGGCACAGCTCATTTGGTGGGGTCAGCCTACAGAGACTCCAGGAAGGGGCCTCTGCTTTGCAATCGTGTAGTAGGCGTGTGCTCCTGAAGTCCAGCATACCCAACCCACCTTTGTTGGCAGGTGTCCCTGCTGTTCTCAAAGTGACCGGCCCTCAAGCTACATCAGGAACTCCCCTGGTCACTGTTCGACCAGCCAGCCAACCTGGAAAAGCTCCAGTTACTGTGACTTCGCTGCCTGCTGGTGTCCGAATGGTTGTGCCGACACAAAGTGCCCAGGGGACAGTGAGTTGATGCCCAGTTGGCTTTGCCACGAAAGGATATTGGAGAGAGATCCTCTGTTGCCCTTGGAGGAGAGCTAAGAGTCTTTCTGGGACTTGGGAGGAATGGCTGGTGCCCTTGGAGGAGAACACAGAAAGAAACTAAAAGCCTTTGCAGGCCTTGGGAGGAATGGCTTGTATCTGATTGAATGGTTCTTGATAATACAAATAGGGAGTTTGATGATTTAAAAACCTTGTAGCCAGAAAAGCGTCCAGCCTAGCCTTTGAAATGTTACTTTGGGGTCAGGAGAAGGACATAGCAGCCATAATGCAGATCATTTGGGCCCCTCCCCTTGCTCCTGGTTGTGCTGAGGGGAGAAAGGAGAAGGAAATTCTAGGAGGTAGCTGTTTTACCGAGAGCCCGTTGAAATACAGGAAAGTGGCCTCTACGTCCTAGACCCATAGGCCCAGAAGGCAAGGCAAGGGACAACTCGAACTCAGGACTCCACCCCAAGCCAGATCTTCCTTTTTGTTTCTCTCTTTTTTTCAGGTGATTGGCAGCAACCCTCAGATGAGTGGAATGGCAGCCCTGGCTGCAGCAGCTGCAGCCACCCAGAAGATCCCTCCTTCCTCAGCTCCCACAGTACTGAGTGTCCCTGCAGGGACCACCATTGTTAAAACAGTAGCAGTGTCTCCTGGCACCACCACACTTCCAGCCACAGTGAAAGTGGCCTCCTCGCCAGTCATGGTAAGCCCTTGTCTGCCTCTGAAGGCAAATAACCTTGTGGCTTCTCCCTCTTCTGAGTGGAAGTAAGATGTTCCAGGCACTACAGTGATCCTCCAGGCTTAGGAAAAGGAAGCAAGTGTTCTTGGAGTTCTGAAGGAGAACAGCAGGCTTTAGTGAGCAGAAGAAAGTTTGTGATCTGAGAGAGCTTCTAAATTGGGGATATGGGAGTTTCTACCACATGGAGTAACTTAGGCTTAGTCCTTCCCTAGGATTCAGGGAAACCTAGACTGAACTCTGTCCCCAAACTATGGTAGCCATGACCATTTGATTGATATGTCTGCCTTCCTTCCACCCAAAACCGTTGATTGTGAATTAGCCACAAAGGTCTTATAGCATAACATCTGGAGCTCTTATTTTTAATTTTTTTTTTTGAGCCTACTCAGGTATTATCTGTCCGTAAAATTGGTGCTTCACATTGTCTCTCTTCTCTCTACCTCAGGTGAGCAACCCAGCCACCCGGATGCTAAAGACAGCAGCAGCCCAAGTGGGCACATCAGTGTCCTCAGCTGCTAACACTCCCACCCGCCCTATCATCACAGTCCACAAGTCAGGCACTGTGACTGTGGCCCAGCAAGCCCAGGTGGTGACCACCGTGGTTGGTGGGGTCACCAAAACCATCACTCTGGTGAAGAGCCCCATCTCTGTCCCAGGGGGCAGTGCACTGGTGAGTAGCAAGCTTCAGTGGGCCAGTGTCCAGACCAAATTCCCAGTCAGGGGCTTAGGACCTGGGTCAGCCTGACTGTAGCTAGATGCTACCACTTGGTTTCTAGTGAAGCCTCTGCCCTATTTGTCCTGACTTTTTTTTTTTAATCTTTTTAAAAATTAGATTTTATTCTTTTTCCACTTAACAAAAATAGTATATATAAGCAAAACAAATGGCCTAATTGGCCATGTCCAAAATCTCTATCTCATCTCCTCTTTACTTTACAGATTTCTAATCTGGGCAAAGTGATGTCAGTTGTTCAGACCAAACCGGTTCAGACCTCAGCAGTCACAGGCCAGGCTTCTACTGGCCCTGTGACTCAGATCATCCAGGTAAACAACAGCCTAGGGTAGCAATGGGGGAGATGGGGTGGTGGGTTCATCCTTGTAAAAGTAATTTTGCAAAAGGATCATAACGGGTGCCTTTCCAGATTTGTGGCACTTCCCTAGTAAGTGACCGAAAGAGAATTATAGATGATTTCTTTTACTAAGACTGATTATCAAGATTTGAGTGTTTGCTATGGAAACAAGGGGGTGGGGGGTGGGGAGGGTGGTAAAAGGCAGGGAGAATGAGGAGGCAAGTGTCTGCCCTGGAGTAGCTCAGGGGAGAGACAAGGCTAATGGGGGTGGATGCTAAGTGCCATGTGAACTAAGATCAGTGAAACTTGTTTCTTCCCAAAATGCCCCAGGCCAGGCCATCAGCACGTAGCAGTAGCAGGAACAGCTAGCATTTAGACCGCGTGAAGGTTTGCCAAGCCCTTTACAAACGTGATCTCATTTGAAGGAAGAGAAAAGGAGAAGAGTGAGTGGCCTGGGCTGCCATTCTTTACCTGCGACTACTACAAACATCACTTGTTACATTTTTTCCAATCAAAAGAGGTTTGGAGCTAGGGCAGGCGCACATGTGTGTATGTATGTATAGAGATTGTAAACAAAAACTGGCAAGAAAGATTCTGATCAGTTCTCCAAGGTGATAGAGCTGTCCCATTCCCTGCCCCCAAACCCAGGCTAAGGGATGCTAAAGAGCATCGGTGCCTGGCTAGAATGGTATTTTCTCTCTCACACCCTACTTCTGCCCTTACTCTCAGACCAAAGGACCCCTGCCAGCGGGTACCATTCTGAAGCTGGTAACGTCAGCAGATGGCAAACCTACCACCATCATCACCACCACCCAGGCCAGCGGGACTGGAACCAAACCCACCATCTTGGGCATCAGCAGTGTCTCCCCTAATACCACCAAACCGGGCACCACCACCATCATCAAAACCATCCCCATGTCGGCTATCATCACCCAGTCCGGAGCGACGGGTAGGGGCGTCGGGCAGGGGCCGCGCGATATGTACCCGAATACAATTACTCTCCAAAAGTCACCCGACACAACATCCTGGGTGTCCCCCAATGGGCTGAATTCTGAGTCGGGGTATAAGGTCCAGGCTGGTGAGTAACTGGATTACGAGGCTGGAGAGAGCAAATGGGGCAGTTTGAAGTTGTCTTATTTTCCCTTTTTCTTTTTTTTTTCAAGCTTTTGGGGGGAGGTGGCAGGGTAGCTGTGACTCTTCCTTTTAGGACACTTGGAGGGGTGGAAGGTAATAGACTTGGGAGTAAAGCACCAACTGAGCCACAGTTGGCTGGAGGTGGGTTTTAAGGGCAGAGTTAGCAGTTATCTTCTACCAAAGCCTGACCAGGTACCGGCTTTCTTTTCCTGTCCTCTCCTTCCAGGTGTAACTAGCAGCCCTGGCATCAAATCTCCCATCACCATCATTACCACAAAGGTCATGACATCAGGCACAGGCACACCTGCCAAAATCATTACTGCTGTCCCCAAAATCGCTACTGGACATGGGCAGCAGGGCGTAACCCAGGTATGGCATTCCTACCACCCCCCTGGCATCATCCTAATTCAGCATTAGGATGCTCTTGTCTTCTTCCCACCCTTTGAGAATATCTTGAAGCTTCTTCTGCCTTTCTTGGGGCATTCTGGAGTATTTGCCAACGATTGCTCAGCCCTCTAAACTTTGGCATTATAGGTGGTGCTGAAGGGAGCCCCTGGACAGCCAGGCACCATCCTTCGGACAGTTCCCATGGGTGGGGTGCGGCTCGTCACCCCAGTCACAGTATCAGCTGTCAAGCCGACTGTCACCACTCTGGTGGTGAAGGGCACCACAGGTATATGTCTGGCAGACAGGAGGGAATCAGGTTGAGCAATTGGCCAGCCACTGCATTCTGCTCATCTAATCCTCCTGCCACCTCACAGGAGGGGAAAAGGGGAGAATGGCATGGAGGCCATGTGTCCCTAGGTTTGTCTGGCCACAGAATCGGGTGTGGGACCCAGGTATCCTCCCTTGAGGGCACCATTGAGCCCTTAGATGCTCCCAAGCCCATTCCGATATCATGCCTTCACACTCAGCTCACTTTCAAGAGCTTCTTGGGTCTTTCATTTTTCTCTTGCTTTTTCATGTCCCACACTCAGTGTATTTACCATTACAGAATCCCCCAGGGGACTGTTTTCTCCTGTAAACTTAGATTCCTGCCAGTCTCGACTCCAGGAGGCAGATATTTTTTCCCTGGTACCTGCCATGTCAGTTATGTACTTGCAGGAACAAGACCCACCAAACCAGTCTTAGCTAAGAGGGAGCTGAGAGAGAGAACAGGGGGCTCTTCAGCTCCCAGGGGTGGGAAGGAGAGGCAGGCAGGTAAGCTGGTAAGAATAGCTGGGAAGAAGTGGCCCCATTTCATCTGTTTTCCCCTTCCCTCCAGGAGTCACAACCCTTGGCACTGTGACCGGAACAGTGTCCACCAGCCTCGCTGGAGCAGGCGGGCATAACACCAATGCCTCCCTAGCCACTCCAATCACCACCCTGGGGACCATTGCCACCCTTTCAAGCCAGGTGATCAATCCTACAGCCATTACTGTGTCAGCTGCCCAGACCACTCTGACAGCGGCAGGAGGGCTCACCACCCCCACCATTACCATGCAGGTAGGCCCTTCCTCCACTGCCACTCAGCCAAACAGCTCACCACAGAACTGATCAGTACAGTAACATGGTGAGCAGGCCAGGCTGGATGCAGGAGAGCTGAATTCTCACTGTACAACCCTGGGCAAATCCTTGGCTCTTAGCTTCCTGTTATTATCTCCCATCTAACCTCACATGGCAGCATTAAGTAAGGTGAGGGGAGAAAACCCCAGTGCCATGTGGATAAGACTTTCAACATTTCACTAGCGAGTGGGGTATGGTCTCCTGGATTGGGGGCGGGAGGAACACCTGACTTCTGTGTTTGTGTAAGTGACTTCCTTCATTTCTCCACTCTTCTCTCCCTCCCTGTGCACCCCCCCCCCAATATCTTCCTGGACTTCAGAAGTAGGACTCCCAAATGAGCCTGAAGGGCTGGGGTTGGCTTTCTCACAGTGCCATATCCACTGCACATGCCAGCACTGTGCATCCCCAAGGCTAGCACCACAGAAATGTAGGAGACTGGCCTGGCCTCAGAGCTGAGCCAAGATGGAGAGAACTTGGGAGGATGGGAAGAGAAGGGGATGGCGTGGGAGAAGAGACTTGATGGACTCGGGGGGTTTCTACTTGTGTTTTTTCCTAGCCTGTCTCTCAGCCCACTCAAGTGACGTTGATTACCACACCCAGTGGAGTAGAGGCCCAGCCAGTACATGACCTCCCTGTCTCCATCTTGGCCTCACCTACAACAGAGCAGCCCACAGCCACAGTTACAATCGCTGAATCAGGCCAGGGCGATGTGCAGCCCGGCACTGTGACACTAGTGTGCTCCAACCCCCCCTGCGAGACCCATGAGACGGGCACTACTAATACAGCCACTACAACCGTAGTAGCAAATCTCGGGGGTCTCCAGCAGCCAACCCAGGTCCAATTTGTTTGTGACAGGCAGGAGGCAGGTGCCTCATTGGTTTCTTCAGCAATGGGACCGCAGAACGGCAGCGTGGTGCGGGTCTGTTCAAACCCCCCCTGTGAGATCCATGAGACAGGCACCACCAACACTCCCACTGTGGTCAGTGCCAACCTAACAGTCCCCACACTGCTAGGGGCAGGGCAGATTGTGTGCTCCAACCCCCCTTGTGAGACCCATGAGACAGGGACCACCAACACGGCCACTTCTAGTATGGCTGGGCAGCACATGTACTCCAACCCCCCAGGCCAGCCCCAGGAAACAGGTCCCGCCAACATAGCTGCATCGAACATGGCTGGGCAGCAAGTATGCTCAAACCCCCCCTGTGAGACCCATGAGACGGGTACCACCAACACAGCCACTACCGCCACATCCAACATGACTGGGCAGCGTGTGTGTTCAAATCCCCCGTGTGAGACCCATGAGACAGGAACCACCAGCACTGCCACCACTGCCATGTCCAACATGGGCTCAGGGCAGCCAGCAACTGCCAGCCAGCAGCGTGAGACACATCACACTCACACAACCAACACCCCCATCACAGCCCGATCCAATATGGGCACTGGGGAGCCTGAGGGAGCGCAGGTTCCCACCCAGGCCCCGTGCCAAACCCATCAGACCAGCGCAACCAGCACCACCATGACTGTGAAAGCTACAGAGGCACCATGTCCAGCTGCTCCCCAGGTTTGCCCCAGTCTAGCCTGTGAGCCTGGTACCACCACCACAGGTTCTATGGGGCCACCAACTCAGAGCAGCTCAGCTAGTGGGGGGTGGTACCAGCACAGGCTTAGGGCAACTAGCCTTCATCAGCCGGCAGTCTGAGGTACAGCATACCCATACAACAAACACCCCGACTACAGCCCGGTCCACCATGGGCGCTGGGGAGGCCAATGGGGTACAGGGGCCCACAAAGCCCCCATGCCAAACACATCAGACCAGTTCCACCAGCACCACTATGACTGTGAAAGCCACAGAGGTGCTTTGCCTGGCCGCTGCTGCCTCCTCCACCTGTTCCAACCCACCTTGTGAAACGCATGAGACTGGTACCACCAACACAGCCACTACCTCGAATGCAGGCACTCTCCAGCAGGTGTGCTCCAACCCACCCTGTGAGACCCACGAGACTGGCACCACACATACGGCCACCACTGCCACCTCCAATGTAGGCTCCAATCAGCCTGGGCAGCAGATACCTGCTAGCCCTCGTTGTGAGACTCACCAGACCACCTCCACTGGCACCACCATGACAGTCAACTTTGGTGTCCCACCCTCTGGGGCCAGCCCCTCCCAGAAGACCCTGGAGGCAGCCTTAGATTCTGCAGCAGCACCAGCCCCCTCCCCAGGGCAGAGGGTGTGTACCAACCCCCCCCTGTGAAACCCATGAGACAGGCACCACACATACGGCCACCACTGTCACCTCAAACATGAGCTCAAACCAAGGTGAGTTAGAGGCAAGTGATCTTCCATTCAGGCCCCCAACCCTGATTTTAGAACAGCAGTCTTTGGAATGGGAGTTCCCCAGGGGGAAGGAAACTTGGATTTGCTAGACTCTTGGCCCCCAAGTCACATCTTAAGATACCTCTGTGATGAGCTGGGCGATGAGGAAACCAGCCGAAAGTCTTAAGGTCATGTACCTCCAGAGTGGCACCATAGGAACTAGAACCTTACTTCTAACTCAGGCTTCTTCCTTTGGGCCCCACGCCTCTTGTCCCACTTCTCCAGAGTCTCAAGGGAGAGGTGGAAAGTATCATTAGGCCCTTCCTTCACTGAGTGTACCCCAGCCCAGCTTTCATTCCCAGCCCACCTATTTCCCTTCCCACAGACCCACCGCCAGCTGCAGGCAATCAAGGGGAGCCGGAGAACCCCCAAGGAGAAAGCATGGCCACCACCAGCTCCGGCACCATCACCACAACAGTGTCTTCCACCCAGACCCGAGCTGTGACCACTGTGACACAATCCACACCAGTTCCTGGTCCCTCAGTGCCGGTGAGAAGCCATTAAATATTAGCTTTCCCTTTCCAAACCAGAGGGCTTGGGGCATACTCCTGGGCAAGGCTCTTATTCCTGGCTCCTCATGTCCCGTTCTCCGTGAAGGAGCAGTGTACTTCTGGCTACCAGTGGGGCTACCGTGGGCCTCGGAAAGAATGTTTGGGTTGAACCAAGGGACGACCTGAATACAGGCTGAGATCTAGCCCTGGCCTGGCTATCCAGCATCCCAGCATACAGTTGGCATCCCCTTGCCCTGTTCCCAAGAAGCCCCCCACTGACCACGGGCTCTTAGTTCTCCCTTAGCCATACGGATGGATTCACTCTTGCCATTGTCCCCAGCTGGACTTTTAGCAGTCCCTTTGCCTTAGTTGTCTTTGGAATTGCCATTTAGCAAATTCTGAATCTGCCTTTTCCCCAACCCCATGTGGCCCCTGGGGTGTTGAGTGTTGACCGTGCACTGGTCTCTTTTGTCTAGTCTATCACTTCTTCCTCCTTCTAGTGTGACATCTCTTGTCTCCAATCCTTTATCTACCGTGTGTGACACTCAGTGCTTTCTCCCTGGGTGTAGAGGGCAGGGCGCTACACACCCATGCCATTATTTTGGCAGGAAACAGATGGGATGGAAGAGGAGCAACTTGGGTGGGGGGAGGGCTGCCAAGCCATGCCCAGCAGGTCAAGAGGCCCGAGGGCCTAGAGAGGCAATCATTGCTAAGCAGCAGTGTTGGCTTTCTTTCCTAAGCCCCCTCTCATCTCAGCAGCAGCTTAGCTACAAGGAGGCAGGATTTGGAACTTCCATTTTGTAGAGGTGAAGCGGCAGAAGCTCAGGGGTTACTATGGTTACAGAAAATGAGTTACCAGAACCTTGGCACTAGAACTTATGTCCCCAGCCCTTTTATCCACATCAAGGCCCTCCCAGTAGGTCGGTCTTGCAGCTTTCACAAGTCTACCTCCCTACCTCGTGCCTCAACAAAAGCATAGCATTTTAACATTTCCGAGGAAAACCTTAGGACGTAAATGGTTTGCTATTGTTGCATCTCATCTGACTGCTGCCTCTCTCTAACCTTGTAGAACATTTCAGCGATGACGGAGATGCCTCCTGATGCCATGGCTACAGAAGCGTCTGTCTCAGCCACAATAGCGGTGGCTGTGACTGGCACAGACGCACAGGAGGTGGCCCTCTCGGCCACAGACATTCTCCAGCCCTTAGAGGAGATCCCATCTGAGACAGAAGCTCCGCAGCACCTCTTACAGCCCCGCTCTGCTCCTGGAGGGGAACAGGCTGAGGGCCCATCAGCTACTCACAGCCCTGACCTACAGGCAGCGGTGGACATGAGTGGGGCTGGGGCACATTCCCCAGGCCAGGAGGCTGCCAGCTCAGCAGTAGTGACTGCTGTCATGGTACAGCCACAGCCGCAGCCCGAGGTGGACCAATTGTCCCTGCCCCAAGAGCTGATGGCTGAGGCTCAGGCTGGCACCACGACCCTTATGGTTACAGGCCTTACCCCAGAGGAACTGGCAGTGACAGCAGCAGCTGAGGCTGCAGCCCAGGCAGCAGCTACTGAGGAAGCCCAGGCCCTGGCAATCCAAGCTGTGCTCCAGGCAGCCCAGCAGGCCGTGATGGGTAAGTTTCTGGCAGAGGGAATGTAAGTAGAAAGGGACTCTGGAGCCACCCATACTTGTTTTAGGGTGCTGCCATGCCATCTCTGCTGACTCCGGAGTCAGTGAGGTGGCAGTGACCTATTTATTAAGGGGCAGTGTGATATAGCAGCCTGGCATGGAGGCCTGAGAGAGGGCCTGCTATAGATAGGCCAAAGCTCAGAACCAGCATACGCAGAGATCGGAGCCATTTGAGATCCTTTTGGCTCTAAGGTTTCAGGGGATTGAGTGGGTGGATGGCAGGCAAGAGAGACCAAGTGTGGGTAGAGGTTTGAGGATGAGGTAGCAGTCTGAGCAGATAGACTAAGCAGAAGAAGCTGCCAAGAGCAGCAAGAAATGAGGGTGGTAAGGTGCACAGTGTTAGTTTGCATTGTCCTCTCATTAGGTGGTGGGTGGCACTGGAATGGGGTGGTCTCTGCTGCCAGCCTGGCAGCTTAGCTCTCTTCCCCAAACCTGGGGGAGATAAGGGACCAAGTGTGCTAACTGCCACCTGGGGAGTTGGGTCTGATGTCATTCCTGACTTGGCTAGAGCTCTGATTGGTGTTCCCTTTGGCTCTGGAGCAGGTGCTGGTGAGCCAATGGACACGTCAGATGCAGCCGCAGTGGCACAGGCAGAGCTGGGGCACTTGACAGCAGAGGGCCAGGAGGGGCAGCCTACATCCATCCCCATTGTGCTGACCCAGCAGGAACTTGCTGCTTTGGTGCAGCAGCAGCAACAATTGCAGGAGGCTCAGGCCCAAGCCCAGGCTCAGGTGCACCATCACCACCACCACCTGCCCACTGAGGCTCTGGCCCCTGCTGACAGCCTCAATGACCCAGCCACGGAAAGCAATGGCCTCAGTGACCTAGCCAGTGCTGTCACCAGCACTGTGGCCCTTCTGCCTTCCACAGCAACAGAGAGTAAGTGGGCACCTTGGCCACCCGAATGGAGTGTTGGCCAGGAGTAATGTGGGGATCACTCTGGGATCCTTCCAGTGTTGGGGCCTGGAATCGATCTTAGGGAACACAGTTCTGGTTGCCTGCTGTCAAGCTCCCCCCCACCCCCTGCCATCACCTTCAGACCTAAGGTGACTTTCAGCCCTTTCCTCAGGGAGCAGACAAAGATAAGAAGCCCCTGGAGGCGGCCGGCCTTAAATGTTTGCCTGTGTGGGGTGGAGTGATTTAGAGGGAAGAGACCTGGATTCAAGACTCACACCCCAGGTTTCTCTCGAAGTCCTCTTCGCAGTGAAGTCCACTTCACAGTTCTTCACAATGAGAAGAAAACTCATTTAAGGAAGAAGGCGACAGCCTGAAAGCATGTGCCCTTACGTGTCAATGGCAAAGGCCCTGCCCCAGGGGCCTGTTGCCTCTGGCAGTCTCCGCAGGGCCAGGATAGCGGCTGTGGAAGAAGGTGCGGGGCGCAGGATGTGAGAGCCAGGTCACCTTAGGACCTCTTTCATCGGACACTTTGTTTTCCCAGGTTTGGCTCCGTCCAACACATTTGTGGCTCCTCAGCCAGTGGTGGCTAGTCCAGCGAAACTCCAGGCAGCTGCTGCCCTGGCTGAGGTAGCTAATGGCATCGAGTCACCAGTGGGGGTGAGTTGGGTGCGATGGTCCTTAAGGGAACACAACCCCTCCAGATGTCCTTGAGGTTCACTCGATCCCTTGATTGTCTTCCCTAGAAACCAGATCCCCTGCCCCCACCCATGAAAGCCACAGCGAAGAAGGAAAACCAATGGTTCGATGTCGGGGTCATCAAGGGCACCAACATGATGGTGATGCATTATTTCCTGCCTCCAGATGATGCCCCGAGTGATGTGAGTGCCCCCAGGAGTGTTTGTCCCCTAACCTCAGGCCTGGGCCTGGGTGTGACACAGAGTTACCCAAGGTTCACTAGTAACTGAGTTCTTCCCTGTTCCACTGTCATGTTCCAATCCCCGCCACCTCTTGCTAATGAATAACCCCACTTGACTGGAGTCAGATGTCAGAGTCTGTTCATTAGGTACAATGGTGGAACCAGAGAAGAGTTTCAGCCACTGTCGTTTAGGTGCTAAAACAACTGGGGAAGAGGGGCAGTTATTCCCTTAGTTGAGGCAACAACTTATAGGTCCTTTTTGTATTAACTCAGATTATCAGCTTCTTTCCTCTATCCTGCACCCACTGAAAGGTGGGAAGCCAGGCAGGTAGCCTCAGCTGGCTAACAGTTAGCTATATTTTCCCTTCCCTTACCCAGGATGACTCAGGCACTATCCCTGACTACAACCAGCTAAAGAAGCAAGAACTCCAGCCAGGCACAGCCTACAAGTTCCGTGTCGCAGGTATCAATGCCTGTGGCCGGGGGCCGTTCAGCGAGATCTCAGCCTTTAAGACTTGTCTTCCTGGCTTTCCTGGGGCTCCCTGTGCCATTAAAATCAGTAAAGTAAGTATTAACCTGAATCAGTCCTCTGTACAAAGCACCAGAGACAGCTGGGAAGGCTTATGGTGAACAGAAGTGGGTAGTGTTTGCTTGGGAAGTTTCTGAGCTGGGAGTTGGAGGGGTGCAGGGATGGGGTTGAATGCAGGAAGTATGTTTGTCTGCCTGGAACACAGTCATGGGAAGGCTGAGCAGCAGTGTGGTGTGTGAGCCCCAGACTTCAGACATAGTCCTGGTGGGATTACTGGTCCTACTAATCAGTTGCATGATCTCAAGCGAGCCACCATCTCCTTTTTAAGCCTCAGTTTCCCTACTTAGAATGTGAGGTTGAACTAGATCACATCCCGTCTATGAGTGTCTTGCTATGATCTAGCGGAAAGTGGGGTAGGGGAGCATGTAGCTGCATTTCAGGGTCCCAACCTGTCTTAAATTCTGGATCTTTGGTTAGTTACTGCTTGTTCCCTCTTCTATAGTAAAAGCATTTGTGTAGTGGCATTTTCAGGATGACAATGGTAGCCTTGAGCCTTTGGTTTTTTACTTCTCTCTTTCTCTCTCTCCCTCCCTCCCTCTCTCTCTCTTTCTTTCTCTTCTGCCCCCCCCAAGAGTCCAGATGGTGCACACCTCACCTGGGAGCCACCTTCAGTGACCTCAGGCAAGATCATTGAGTACTCAGTATACCTAGCCATCCAGAGCTCCCAGGCAGGTGAACCGAAAAGCTCAGCCCCAGCTCAGCTGGCCTTCATGCGGGTCTACTGTGGGCCCAACCCGTCCTGCCTGGTGCAGTCGTCCAGTCTCTCCAATGCCCACATTGACTATACCACCAAGCCAGCCATCATCTTCCGCATTGCTGCCCGCAATGAAAAGGGCTATGGCCCTGCCACACAAGTCAGGTGGTTGCAAGGTAGGCACTGTCCATGGGAGGGGAATCAGGGGCATCTGGGCAGGGTCTGGCAATAGGTTGGGCTTCTGTCAGACAAAGAGGTTTGTGCTCTGTAGGTCATCCATTATGCCATGGTGCTCTGCCTCCCCTCCATGGGGGCAGTAGAGGGTTATTATCTTAGGAGAGACAAAGAAGATCTAATCTTTCCCCTTGAGGAGCTTGTAGTCTCATGGAGAAGACATTTGAGGAAGGGAGAGGGCAGATAGAAGGAGACTAGGGGAGGGAGGCAGCAAGAGCCCCGTTAAGGCTGGGGCTGAGGTTACTGATTTTTTTTTTTTTTGAAGCTAGTGTGTGTGTGTGTGTGTGTGTGTGTGTGTGTGTATAAAAAAAATATGTGTTGATCCAAGGTGATTCCCAACTTGAGTCCTGAATGGAGAGCCTGAAGAAGGGGCCGTATGCTCTGATGAGGGAGTTGGGGTGCCAGCACATGGCATTTTATGTGCAAATGGAAATGGTGGAATTGAACAGGTTTGAGAACAGCACAGCACCAAACTGCTGTCAAACTTGTGTCTGCCTTGAGGCCTGATCTCCTCATGTGTCCATGCCACCTCGTCTCACCACTCCCATTTACCCCCTTCTTTCCATCCTGTATCTTCTGTTGTAGAATCTAGCAAAGACAGCTCCAGCTCAAAGCCTGCCAGCAAGCGGCCCTTGTCCTCGCCAGAAATGTAAGTGGGGCCTCCTGACTATGGCTCGTGAAGGCTTGGGGGGTGGGGTGACGGGATGGATAATGGGGGCGTAGATCTTAGCTACACTTGCGGGGGGGAGATGCTGGACACTATTGATAGGAAGGTCTTGAAAATCTGAGAGAAACATTGGGAGCCTGTCCTAATTCTTCTTTCCCTTCTCCCAAGGAAATCTGCTCCAAAGAAATCCAAGGCAGATGGCCAGTGAACGGCCCCTTCTCCCAGATGCCCGCCCCTCTCCCCGGCCCCCTGTTCTGCTTCAGAGATGCTGCCTGCTGCGCCTTGTGCAACTTCTCCCTCCCCTGCCCCTCTACCCCGGCACCTTTGGAGCCTCCCTCTGCCCAGTTTTCTTGCTCTCCGTTTTTTTGTTTTTTTTAAGGGGTGGGGAGGACAAGTTATTATGAAGAAAGCACATTTTAATGTTGGGTTGGGAAGGGAGGAAGAGGAGTAAAGGCCTTCACACACCCTGGCCCCCTATGCTGAATTGTGCATGCAGTCCCAAGCCTCAGAGACAGTAGGGGGGCCCCTTGGGAAGGGGAAGAGGACAAGGGGCCCATTGGCAGCCTCCCTCTGCCCATGGATGCTTTCCACAGCAGCAGTCCCATGTAGGTTTTATGCTTGCTCCATATTCATAACCTTTGAAAGAAAAACTAAAATTCCTTTTTAAAACAAACATTTCTTCATTCTTGGTTTCCCTGGGGTTGTAGAGGAGACAGGTATGGGTAAGGAGGAGGAGGAGGAGGAGGAGATGAGCCACAAGAAAAACAGAGGGCACCTAGCCTTCCTCCTTCCCCTCCTCCTCCTCCCCATCCCTCCCTCCCAACCTCACGGGCATCTTTTGTCTTTTTATTCTTTTAGTTTGCAGCCACCCAAGTTCCTTAAACTCGCCTCAACCCTGTTCCCTCCAAGCCTGTGATTCCCCAGGACCCTGGCATCACAATCTGCTCCCCTCCTACCCCTGCACAGAGCAGAGGGCAGTGTGGGGGGTATGGCTTGGTCTAGAAGCTGCTTTGTAATGCCACACTAGGGTGAGGGAGCCCCAGACAAGTTAGGGTCAGGGGAAGGGAGGAACTGTCATCATTTTTTTTTTAAGTAAAAAAATTGAAGAAATGAAGCTCATTTTTATTACTATCTTATAGTATGTGGGGCTTTTTTCCCTTGGGGGGGGATGTCTTTTAGCAATGTACAAAATAGATTACTTTTTTTTTTTCTGGTTTAGTGTCAGTCTTGGCAGGGATATCCTGGGGGCACTAAACTGGCCAGGCTGAGGAGAGAATGGCACCCCTAGTTAGTGCCCGCAGAGACTTTAGATAACTTTGGTTTCTCTTGACTGCAAACACATTGCATGTTGCTGGTCCCTTAACCTTCTGCTGGTCCATTCCCCTGAAGGAAGAGGGTATGTCAGGTTAATTGGAAGGAAGGAGGCAGTAGCAACAAGGCACACAGCAAACCCAGGCCCCCCGATTCACCAGGCAACTTGGAGGAAATAAGTGAACCCTAAATTAGGCTGGTTTTCAGCAAAGGTGTTAGAATATGCTGCCTCCTCTGTCACCCCCAATCCCTTTATGTTTGAGCTTCCTCTAGACCCTGCCCTAACCATCTAGGGCCACTTCAAACAGGAAGTGTTTCTGGTGCAAATGGGGTCAGAGTAGACAGCTGCCCCTTTCTTTCCCCTCCCCCAAACTTTTGTATTTTGGGGAGAGAGGGGAATTGAAAGGGAAGAGTGGAAACTTGGATTGGAAGAGGTTGGAGTTTGGTAATTGGAGGGGGTTGGGGTGCTCTTTCTCAAAGCCAGCATCTCCGGCCTACAGATTCCGTGAATTTGTAGGCCTTGCTCTTCCAGCTTCACCCACCTGCTCTCCTGAGGAGTAGAGCCAGTGAGTCGGGAGCCAAACTCAATGTAATAAGGCAGGATGACTGTGGGGAGCCAAGCTCCCTAGTGCCCAAAATCTGCGTTGGCAAAGTGAGCACTTTGAAAAATGCCATACAAAAAGAATTTCAAACAAATAGCCAGACTCAAGGACCTGGCTAGGGTCTCTCCTCAGTTCTTGGGCCAGCCTGGAAAGGTAGTGACTGATATCCTTTTCCCCACTCACCCAAGGTACCCTCTTCACCCCTCTGCTGTTGGGCCCTACAAAACTGCAGGGCCCCTGTTCTTTTGTATTATAGTATATTTCACTGTGGACGACTTTACTGTTTAGTCTCTTAGATTCCATTTGCCTGGTCCTGCCATCTGTTTTTCTTCATCTTCTACCACCCACCCCCTTTAATTTCTCGCTTTTTTTTTTTTAAGAACAGCTGTTCTATCTTCCATTGTAGAGCCCCCTCTCCCTGTGACTCAATATTACCCTAGTGCTATGTTGTTTGTGCTATTTTGAACAATAAAATACGTTTTTTTGAAATAACCATGTGGTTGTCTTCTCCCCCACCCACAATCCTGGAACTCTCCAAAGATCATCCCCAAAGGCCCAGAGGTGGAAAACATATGTTCCCGTGCTCTACCTCTGCTCTCCAAATGGAAAGTACAGTGCTTTGTTTGGGTTACTCAAGTCATGGGGCCCAGCTTAGAGGGAGTTTCTAGCCTTCCTTTGGAGTAAAGCTTGCTGGGTATGCTTTGATACCCAGGAAGACTAGCTTCAGAGTCCCACTTCTAACCAGCTATTTGGCTTTGGACAGGTCACTTTCCGAATCACAGTTATCCCATCTGTGAAAGGGGGGAGGTGACAAAGGTGACTTTTAACATCATCTAAGGGGCCACTTTAGGTTATATCTTGAAGAAGTAATGTCTTACAATCCATTGGGTCCGAGTTCCCCTAGTATAACATGGAACTGAGCACATGGACCAGGAGGAAAGGGGTGGAGGACAGGGTCCTGGGTGTGGGACAGAATGTCCTAGGGTGTCTGGGGGTGATGTAACTAGCTGCTTTGCTACTTCAACTTCCCCTGCTCAGTTCCCTCTTTGCATTCTGCTCTGAGGAAGAGGGAACCAAGACAGGGACCTACCAACATAACACATTTGGGGACAAAAATGAGTTACACTCTGGAGTTCCCTCCTCTTCTTGCTTATGTCACCTGCTGTTCCTCAGTTTCCCAACTTGATCAGGGAATGCTAGAGGCAGAAGAAACAGATCATTGAGTCCAATCTCATCTTTCCCCAGCTGGTTAAAAAGTGAAGGTTTCATACCATGTTGATTTCAGAGCTAGGTCTAGATTAAAGTCCCTTTTGTACCTGAATTGGGCTTCGAGCTATCCTGAAGGCTCAGGATGCTTCATTTCCCTTTAACAGGTCTGAACCCACAGGGAAGGATTTCAGCTTGCCCAGTCTGAAGCTGGGATCCCTCTCTGACCTATCCAGAGCCTTCCCTTGCCCTCGTCCCCTCAGTTGCCTCTTTCTGAGGCCCAGCCGAGGAAATCCTTCCTCCATCACGTGGGCTTCCAGTCATCTCCCTTCTGTGCATGCTGCAGCACTTGCCACTAGCACTGTCTTGTTTCTTTTGGGATTTCTCTTATCTCCCTGTCTTCCTGACCCCACCAGTAAGCACTGGGCTAGATTCTCCAGATTCTCAATAATGTCACCTGAGAAGCCCCTTCCTCTCTCTGGGCTAATCCAGTGAGGTTAGGCTAGATACCTGGCTTCTGAGATGCCTTGCAGCTCTCCTCCCAGGAGCCTACACCCAGCACTGTTGGGGAAATAGAAGGGGGAGCCCTGGCGCCCCAGAGAGCTGTCAGTCTGGCTGGCGAAATGGGATTCACCCATAGGCATCAGTCCAAAAATAGTGCGGTGTGTGCTTTGGGCCAAGCTTGTCTGGAGGGGCTCAGGAAGGAGACCAAGTCAGCCGTTGGGAAGGCTTCGGAGCAAAAAGTACTTTAAGCTGGATCTTGAAGATTGGGGCAGGTAGGAATTAATAAAGAGCTGGGGGTGGGGAACAAAAAGGCAGAATGAGGGAGATATAAGTGGCTTCGGGAGAAGGTACGTGAAAGGGAACAAGGGGATGTAAAGCTGGAAAGGTGAATTAGGACCAAATCATCGTGAAGAGCCTTTAATGCCATGCTCCAGTGGTTTGGACTTTATCCTGCAGGCAGCAGCAGAAGCCATGGAAACCTGAGTAAGAAGGGGACATGATCAAATCTGTGCTTCAGAAAGATGGGGTAATCCTTGGACAAAAGGATGGCCTATCCCAGTCCCTGGGCCCTGTTCCCCATGTCTCCCCTTCCTCATGGTTATCTGCACCACAGCCTGGAAGACAAGTGCTCTGTAGATTGATTTCTCTGGGCATGGGCAGTGCTGAATTCCTTGACCTCCCAAGAAGAAAGCAAATACAGCTCATTATTATAGGCCAAAGAAGAAGGTTCCTCACACAAAAGCACTGGAGAAAGGTCCCCTTCTCCCTCAGCCTAGGCCAAGAATGTCAGTAGCCTAGGTAAATATCTCCATCCCAATCTATTGAGAATAAGTGGTACCCTTCCTGGCCCTTGCCAACTACACTGGTGACTCCCCTGTTAGTGGTAATTGGGCTGCTGCCCTGAGGGAGTGTTCCCCTGAGCACCGTGATAGGGGTACTTTTTTTTTTAATTTTAAACATTTTTAAATTTTATTTTTAGTTTTCAACATTCACTTTTATAAGATTTTGACTTCTAAAATTTTCTCCCTACCCTCCCCAAGACTGCATGCAATCTGATATAGGCTGTACGTATACAATCATATTAAACATATTTCCACATTAGTCATGTTGTGAAAGAATTGGAACAAAAAGGAAAAACCACAAGAAAGAAAAAAAAAAGAGATAAAATGTGTGCTTTGATCTGCATTCAGACTCCGTAGTTCTTTCTCTGGATATGGACAGCATTTCATCATGAGTTTTTTGGAATTGTCTTAGATCTTTGCATTGCTGAGAAGAGCTAAGTCTACCAAGGTTAGTCATCACACAATGTGGCTGTTACTGTGTAGTGTTCTGGTTCTGCTCACTTCACTCAGCATCAGACCATACAAGTCTTTCCAGGTTTTTCTGAAATCCGCCTGTTCATCATTTCTTACAACACAATAGTATTCCATTACATTCATATACTACAACTTGTTCATAATTGATGGACATCCCTTCGATTTCCAATTCTTGGCCACCACAAAAAAAGAGCTGCTATAAATATTTTTGTACATGTGGGTCCTTTTCCCTTTTTTATGATCTCTTTGGGATACAGACCTAGTAGTGGCATTGTTGGGTCAAAGGGTATGCACAGTTTTGTAGCCTTTTGGGTATAGTTCCAAATTGCTCCCTGGAATGGTTGGATCAGTTCACAACTCCACCAACAATGCATCAGTGTTCCAATTTTCCCACACCTCCAACATTTATCATTTTCTTTTTTTGTCATGTTAGGCAATCTGATAGGTGTAAGGTGGTAGATGGGGGTGCTTCTTGATCACAAATGAATGAATGAATGAAAGAAAAAGTATTTACTAGGCACTTGCTATGTGTGAAACATTAAGGATACACATAGAAAATTAAGACAGTTATGGTACTAAAGCAGAGGCAGTTAACAGGTTACATCTCTGAAAGGTCTAATGGCTACTAGATCAGGCTGAAAGAGGGCCAGTGGGGGAGGGATGAGGATGTCCGTAGGCTGTTGTTCCCAGGGATTCTGGGCTTACCTGCCCTATGGTGTCCACCAACCCTCTGCTCAGTCAGCACTGTGACACAGTGGGTAGAGTTCCAGGCCTGGAGTCAGAAAGGCTCAATTTCAACTCTGGCCTCACATATTTACTAATTGTGTGACCCTGGGCAAGTCACTTCACACAGTTCACCCCAGTTTCTAGTCTGTAAAAGGAGCTGGGGAGGGAAGTGGCAAACCATTCCAGTATCTTTGCCAAGAAAACCCAAGTAGGTCACGGAGAGTCAGGACATGACTGAACAAAATAGGAGGAGCCTTTGCTCATCTCCATTAAATCTACAAGATTTATTCTGTCTCTGGGGAGGTTGCACACAAAGATAATGGTGAGTCTAGATTGGAGTTTGAGTTATTATGGATGGACATGAAGCATGAACCAGCACCCAACTTGCAGATTGGTTTTGTTCCCAAGCAGCGGGAGTGGAAAGTGCTCTTGGGAGGTGAAGGGGGGAGGGAATGGGTGACAGCCCGAAGCAAGAAGGCCTTTTTCCTTCAGGTTTCCAGCATGGAGAATCTGTAGGAGCCCTGGTACAATTCTACAAGCACAGAGCAGAACCATTCTGGCCTTGCTATATCCCAGACTGATGCAGGGCAGAGAAGGAGATCCTGCAGTTATAACTCCATCCTTCCTGTTCTCAACCCCTCATCCCACAGGTCAGTTGTCCTTCGTCCTTGAAGAGGACCAAAATGACATCACTGTGTTAGAGTCAAGTTACAGTGTGTCCAACTGCTGCTGATCAGACCAATACGAGCTCGGAATGTTCTACCACAGGTTGGGCACAAATAGTTCATGGGAACATTTGGGGTAGATTCTCTAAATTTGCACATCTCATGTTTCTTTTGAGCTGTTTCGATTCTGCTTTTTTTTTTAATTTTATTAATTTATTTTGATTTATCAACAATCACTTCCACATGCTTTTGAGTTGAAAATTTTTCTCCCCCTTCCTCCCCCCAACCCTCCCCAAGATGGCACACAATCTCATATAGGCTATACATTTGCATTCCTATTAAACATATTTTCACATTAGTGAAGTTGTAAGTAAAAATTAAAACCTATAGGAAGAACCATTAGAAAGAGGAAACAAAACTCAACAAAAGGTAAACATAAGTGATAGCGATTTGACTTCCATAGTTCTTTCTTTGGATGTGGATAGCATTTTCCATCATGAGGCCTCTGGGGATGTCTTAGATCCTTGTATTGCTGAGAAGGGTTAAGTTTATCAATATTAGTCATCGCACAACGTGGCTGTTATTGTGTACAAAGTTCCCTTGGTTCTGCTCACTTCACTCAGCATCAGACCATACAAGTCTTTTCAGGTTTTT